GACTGCACTTCATAAGTGAGTAAAAGACAGACAATGACAATTTCCCAAACTAGTCCCGACTTTCCTATAAGCATGTGCATTAACATGAAGTATTAATTTGGGCCTAACTCTGATGTAAATCGTGGCCAGTCTGGAGAATAGAGACAAACCTCAGTACCGTACTGAAAAGGTGCAATTTAAAAGTGCAATAATTAAAATAACACTCAAAATATTTTTGCTTGTTTTTGAGTGTTTAGGCCTATCTATCTATCTATCTATCTATCTATCTATCTATCTATCTATCTATCTATCTATCTATCTATCTATCTATCTATCTATCTATCTATCTATCTATCTATCTATCTATCTATCTATCTATCTATCTATCTATCTATCTATCTAAACCTATATACAGAACAACCTAAAGGGAAAACCTGAACGTTAACCCCTCCAGTAAGAAGATCAGGTGGCTTCAAGCTGTGGGGTAAATTTTACTGACATTGTTTGGATCCAGTTGTTAGCTTAGAAGGAAGTGTGCAAAAGTTGTCCTAAGTAATCATCTTTATCCTTTGATTAACAATTTCTACCCAAATGGGGTCTCTTCCAACAAGATCACTCACCCATCCACTGGGCACAAGGTCACTGAATGGTTTAGTGGGTATGAGAATGGTCTGACTCAAACTTTATCATATCAGAGCTCAAATCATCTGAAGACCTATGGGAGATTTTAGTGACCTCCACCGCACCATCATCCTCAAATCAAAAACTGGGCTTATCTTTCCAGCAGAGTTCAGGAGAATTGAAGGATCGATGCCAAGTTGCATAGAATCTGTTCCGGCGACTAGTACCTTACTAAGACATTTTATGTTGTTTTTTCCTTTAATTGATAAATATACATGCTTTACGCGGTATTTATTTGTTTACTTATTGTATAGTTTATTTTAAAGTCCTGCATCTTAGATAACAGAGGTCATTTGACCCTTCGCGTTAACATCCAATCAAATACAGTACACACAAAGTTAAACTGCAGCAGCAGCAGCTGTCAAAGTGCTCAAAGTTCTGCATGATATGCAACTGGTGGTCACGCAAATACACCGGATAATCGTTTTCAGAGAACAAATCAAATAAAAACCGCATTTCGCTAAACTTCTGCATAATCATGGATCTATAGTCTCAGGATCGCATATTCAGAACACTTTTGCTAATGAAAAGCGAATAACATAATCATAACTCAATCTAGTGACTGTCTGGGCCCCTTGTGACACCTCTAACGGAAGAAAATGACTGTAATTTCGAAGGTCCTCAACGATGCAGCAAATGGGCTAATTAAATATTTCTCAGCGAGGCGTTATGATGACAGAAAGTATACTCGTAAGTTTATCCAGGCCATCATTTCCTGTGCGATGTCAACTCTACAGTGGGACACCAGTCCAAGCTGCTTCGTCGTCTCCTGCTTGAAATGTTTTCCAGCGCCGACACTAAATCATTTTTAACATTTCTGATGGCTTTTTAAAATCTAGTTTTATGTAAATTAATCAAACTCTACCTCCACCACGCATGCGCGCACACACCAGGCCGACGCATTTGCTCCCTTGAGTGAACGGATAGGAGAGAGATTTACGGATTTATGACACACCCACTGCTGGTCAATGTGAGACAGCCTCTCTATCCCTGGAAAATAGCAGCATGACCCCTGTTTCAACTCTCAGCCTTTATGCAGCTGCCATGGCTGCCGTTTAAACACACTACAGGATAACAATGCACCGGCCCGGACCTTTTATGACAAACCAAAGTGACTGAAGAAGACACTCACCTGGGACGAGTTTGAAACAGTTTGCACTTAACCCGGCGCAGACAACAAAAGCAGGCAATCAAGCGCGCAAGCGTCACAACACAGGCGCTTCCGTGTTTCATATTTGGGTTTGTTCAAACATTTCGATTGGTGTTTGTGTGCAAAGTTCTTCTTTTTTCATACATATATCTTCACAGAGAAAGTCCTCGCCTGAGGTGCTCGTAAAGCACATGCAGCCTGCAGCAGTGCAATGTGAGCTGAAATTCATGTGTGATTCAACAGTCTCAAGTCAGAGACGAAACCAGTTAGCTGAGTAGAGACTGAGGAATTTATACACTCAACTTCAAACACACAAAATGCACCAGATCTCTGAAAGGCGGTGAGTTTAACAATAACTCATATCAAATGAATTCTTCAGATTCAGCCCGGGGGGCGGGGGCAAAATAATAAAGGCAAAAAAGACCATGACCTAAAAAGCTGAATGGAGTGAAACCAAAAATACTTCATTCTAAACTTAAAGAATTAAACTGCTATCCATTCGTGTAGATCTTGTCACAGGTAAGGCCGTATTACTTTGAAGTTTACGCTCTTTCTTGGATCACGTGAGAAGAGAAAACGAAAATATTTGTGTACGCGATGATTCATTTTCTATCGTTAAATTTAATGCAGTTAAACATTTGTGTTGCTATGAGGAAAAGTTTCCATTGTGTATAAGAACAAAGTTAAAAAAAACAAAAAACAAAAAGCAGCAGAGTGACACTGATTTATGACTGACTGGCCTTTTGTTTGAATAGCAATAATATTAAACCGCACGTTTTGTTTATTCCCATAATAAATCAGACAACGCCTAATACAGGTGTATTAGTTAAATCCCTGGCAACGCTAAGTCAAATTGTGCCTCATACACTCTCATTCCATTTAACGCAAATCTTCAGTTACAAGAGCTCAAACAAAGAGGGACATGTCGTCATTGTTCGAAGTGTAATTCGAGCTGCACCTGTACAGACACGATGAGGAGGATGAATTATCACATAAACAACTGACAGACGGTGAGATTAGTTTGGCTTTCAGTGTCAACTGTTTATCCTGGAAGACGGGCTGTTGAATATTTTTCCATCAACGTTGAATATTTGGTTCACACCAGAAAGATCAAAGCGCTCTAACACGCTGAAATCTGCCTGCAAAACCGGATAAGAGTTTTCGAATATCATTTTTAAAAAAGCGGGTAGTGATTTGCCCCATCAATAATATCTCAAGCGTTGACATCATCGCTTATATTTTCGAGCATCTTCTACTTCTAACAAAACTTAATTAGTAATCTGTTCTGAAGTTCGCTCTCCTCTGTGTCAGGGAAAAAAATGCATGTGGCTAAAAATACAAGTTTGGGGAAGTGCCGAGCCTCCATGGGAAGTTTGAAGGTTTTTGAAGGTCTTTGTCCATAAACTAATCAAAATGACCAACTGTCCCAGTACTGTCAGAAACATCTATAATTGGCAGCTCACGTCTGAATGTAAGCGCTGACCGGAGACCAGCTATTCTCTTAAGCCACACAGGAGTCATGTGACTGCATCAAGAGACACTCTTTTTAAATGCTCCTGTTTGGGTATGGGGTCTTCAGGGAACTAAAAGGGTAGTTTTGTTTACATCTTATTTATAATTTCAATTTAAAAAATAACTTTTTAAATACGTATACAAAACAATATTTCTTCCTTTCCTTCTTTTCTCAGACAGACTTAAAAAAATATTTATATATGTATGTTGCCACTCCATTAACTGCAGTAAAGGTTACCACAAAACTTTGCCACTTTGATTTGGAAACGACTTCACGGGAGATCGAAAGATTGTTAAATTAAAGAAGAAGGTGTCTGTGTGGAAATCCTGCAATTCTGCTGGATGCAAGGAAGAGAACCGTCCGAGAGTTCAGCCCTGTCCAGTGTCGTCGCCCCCACCCCGCCAAATTAACAAAAGAAGAAACACATTGAGTGATCCCCCGCAGCAGGCCTCTCTATCGGCACAACGCAGAAAAGAAAGCCGAGGCCGAAGGGGACCAGCGAGGGCGCACACAGAAGGTACACGTATAGAGAGTGAGTTGGGTCACAGGGTTGGAGAGGTCGGCCATCCAGACTGAAATGAGCCTAATGGGACAGAAAATGTGTCCCCGAGGTGAACTCGGCCTTCTACCATTTCGCCCCCAAACTTCAATAAAGTACCTTTTCAGCTTCGCGACATGGAGGCGACAGGGCCTAGAAAGAGGCTGGAGGGATGCTGGGACTGTGGCGAGCACATTAATTTCTCTAATCTGTCCAGCAACATAAAGGCTTCTGGATTCATTTTTCAGCGCCGTCTCACCACTATTCTACTGCCTATCCAAAGCCCTGTCCAAAAAGTAGGTTTGAACCTCTTTGGTCCAGCTTAAAGTCCAACTTAACTTTCACATTTGTGGGAAAAGCAGTCAAATAAAAAGAAAAGTGGCATAGGATGCGACCCCGTCTACATAATATTTGATAAGATCAAAACTGGTTGTTGTCAGAGCTGTTTTCCAGAACAGAGCACAAAGCTCTATGGGGAAAGATTGATGATGGAAAATACCTCATCCTTTTGTGCTCTTTTGCCTCCCACTACGCGAGGCATTTTATAAGGCCTATTCATGTCACAATTTCAATAATCTATCAAATTCTTGCGCGTCTTTGGACTCAAGCCATTTTTAAACCGAAATCCTTCTTCCAAAAAAAAAAAAAAAAAGAAAAAGAAAAAAGGGGGGAAAATGGGAGACAAAATGAAAGCACTTCAGGCACTTCAGTTGATGATTCAGTTAAAAAGACTTTCTTCAAATTATTGCATCAGTCCAGCAGGTTTTCAGCAGCAAAGAGTCCTGCAGTGAGTTGGTCCCCCTGCCAGATGAAAGTCGCACGATGACGTTGCACAGAGACGCCTTAGCGCCGTTTTTGAAGTTTCTACAGTCTCGCGAGCTGCAGCATACTACGGAGGCAAACTGCCCACTGGGGAGTCAGCAGACAAATGAGCCAAAGTGTTTATACAAGCAAGAGTCAAAGAGTGAGCAGACAAGAAAACAACAGCATTCCTTTTTGTGGAGAGGGCACTGCTTTAGATCAATTTAAAAAAAATGTTTAAAAAACAAAACCAAAGGTAAACTAGTGTACTTCATCAGCATCTTCACTCAGATATTTAACGAAGACCACACGACGCATTATACTGAATCTATCGGCAGATCACGACTTTATTTTTTTTATTCATTTCACATTTGAAAACCCAGTCGCATGGCGCAGAGGACTATAGAAAAGCAGGGCAACCACTATTGTTACAAAATGAATAATTTCACAACAATCTAAAATCTCTAACACATTGCAAATGTACTCTAAATTAAACGCATGCATCTTTGTGTTCAAGTCAGGACGAAGGAAGCGAGTAGCTTCTTTTGTAGCACTGGCAGAGGCAGTGCAGTGTGGACTGGAGGGCCTCAGTGGCTTGTCTAATTGAATGCCCTTCAGACTGATGAGGTTGCACGTATACTGCACAGCGCAAACTATTTCATTTTCATATTTCAGAAATAACTTCAATCCATTATGAGTGAAGCTTTAACACGCACACACACACTCACACACACACACACACACACACACACACACACACACACACACACACACAGTGTCTGTACACATTGCAAATATAAACACGCAAAAAAGGGAGCTGCAGGATTGACAAACACAGTTTAAAAACACAGTGATTTTTGTTTCCCTCGTGAAATGTCCAGTATTCACACATCTGTACACTTTTAAGGATCTCCTCCAATTTGCAACAGTAGACCTCACCTTACCTAAAATGAACTTGGAACAAACGTATTTAAAACTAGTAGACACTCACTGTTTTATTGACCAATATGATTAGCACAAGTACACTAAACTCCGTTTATTGCATTTCACAATAATCTGCTTTGAACGGTCTAAAACACAACATCAACACTACAAAACTAAATTGCAAAAAATTGAAAAAGAAAAAGAAAAATCCTGTTTCTGAAATACACGAGGTAATTCACACATTGTTATTCTCCTAAACATACAAGTTCAAGATCAATGGTGTGTTCCAGCTTTCTTTTTTATATACCAAAAATAACTATTATTATAGTGATTTCCTTCCAGTGTTGTTTGAAATAAATAGATTGTGCATTTCACCTTGGGCAGCAGGGCAAAAGAATGGCCCACAATAACATTTTGATAAAATGTATATTTTTTTCTACTTTTTCATCCTTCATTCAAAACATTTTTTAATAAAAAACATCATTTTAATTGAACTTCAAATAAATTAAACCCTGTGTCACGTAAAAATAATTCATCGGTATTCGCAGTAATCCATGCTATATAACATGCATTTTATATAACTTTGGACTTAAAGGAAACCGCACAAGATAGCTACGAAAACAAAATATATAAGTGTTCTATAAATAACCAGTTCTTATTCTACCCCCAGTAATGGTTCGTGGTTTTATAACCTGGTAATATCCTCGCCATGCTGAGCTCCGGTAAGTTCGTCGGGGGCCCCGGTGTTAGTGGCCGAGGCAGCGGCAACAGCGCCGGCTGCTGAGCTTGTGTTGGACCCGGAGGAAGAGGAGGAGGATCTCACTTTGGTGTTCGGGAGCCTGTGATCCTTTTTCCATTTCATCCTGCGGTTTTGAAACCAGATTTTAATCTGCCGCTCGGAGAGAACCAGGGTGTGTGCGATCTCGATGCGCCTCCGCCGAGTTAAATATCGGTTATAGTGGAATTCCTTCTCCAATTCTAAGACTTGCTGCCGGGTGTATGCTGTCCTAGACCGCTTGGGCTCCGTCCCATTGTAACCAGAGTTCACTGGAAGAAGGAGAAGAGGAGAGAAAGGGAGACAGAGAACGGAGGAAAGGAGGGGTAAACAAGAATGGCCTCAACTGAGATATGGCTGGAAAGATTTATTGGTTATGAATGTTTAGCTGTTTGAGAAATTTAAATGGGAAGTTAAGAACTTCTCAGCGTAATGAGAGGACACTCACATCCAACTATGAGCTAAATTATTAATGCAAGATTACAAAGCTCAGATTTTTTTCTTATTCATTTCTCCCCCTCTCTCCATCGCGCAATACATAACAGCAGAAGCCACATGGTGATACGGCTGCCCTGAGTATACCTCGGCTATAAAATTTATGGTGGGTGTAATTACCAATGCCGAGTCGTAAATCCGCCTCAATTGTGCCATTTCAAAGGCTTCCCTGCTATCGGAGCAGGGGCTGGCAACGAGATGGGAGTCAGAGGGACTGATAAAGGGAGGGAAGGGGAGAGAGGAGCATGAGGAGTGCAGGGAACATAAACACACAAGTTGCCTACCAGTGCTGACGTGAATTTTCTTCATCCATGGGTACACCACAGGCTGTTTGGAGGAGGCTGTGCTGTTTGGATGCTCCGGGGTAGCTTGGTTGCAGGCGGAGGTTGCGGCCGGTGGGGTGGCGGGGGACATGGACAACTGTGGGGTTTCACATGAAGCAGGTTGCCCTTTCCCTGTCAGTAGATGCGCAGAATGGGGTATTCCATGTCCCCTTGGCGTGTCAGGTTCAGGGATGCTTGCACAGTTAAACTGGCGCTCTTGGTAGCTCGCCCGCGGAGGATATAACTCCTGATGGTGATGCTGGTAGCCAGTGTCCCTTGCGCGGCTGTAATATTCTGGACTATGCTCGGGGATGTAGTTATTTTGCGAATATTCCTCGCATGGAGGAAATTTCGGATCAATGTAGTTAGACTCCATCAAATACGAGCTCATGATCATTAATTTCTGGAGTGGAAAATAATTTTTCTAGCTTTGTCGTTTTTCTGCTCCATAAAGCCCTCCTACTTGCGAGCAGCCCTGTAAAGTTACTTTTACCACGTGACCCAATGGCCCAATAGCAGGGTAAGAGGTAGTTCCCGGATAAGGAACCAGAGGTATTTAGCATACCTACAGTCGCCATTGTGGGCACAAATCTTTCTCTCTCGCTCTCTCTCTCTTTCTCTCTTTCTCTCTCTCTCTCTCTCTCTCTGGCTGCGTTACCAAGGCAATTGATCTTGGGGACAAAACTAGTAGCTAGTTGCTGACCAAGGAAAAAATATAACAGGCAAATACAGTGGTCTCAATTATTCAAAGGGACAAGGATGAGGTGCAACAACAAACCAGTCATTGTGTTAGTTATAACACCTGATTAATAAAGACTGTCTCTGACAACAAAGCTTCAGCTGTGACACAGCCCAGGGTTGTGTCACATAAATTCTTTCTTTCTTTCTTTCTTTCTTTCTTTCTTTCTTTCTTTCTTTCTTTCTTTCTTTCTTTCTTTCTTTCTTTCTTTCTTTCTTTCTCTCCTATAAAACATTTCAGCAGTAACATAGGTAGGTCAGTGGAGAGGTGGAGAGGTGAATGGTCTCCAGCTTTTGAGGAGATGAAGACTGATCATTTGTGGTGCTGGACAGAAGTGGACAGAGAGAAACAATCTGCCTCAGTGGCAGGTTCTTCAACAATGAGAAATTTTGGTCTATCTATTTCGAATCCATATTAATTTCTTTAAAACTACACACTTGTATGGATTTTTTCAGCTTTTAAATGAAAATTGGTAAGAATAATCAGAATCAGAATGCTTTATTAATCCCTGCGGAAATTATGTGGCCACAGTAGCTCCAAGACAGTAAGAACAGTAACTAACTAAACTAAATTAAATAATACAGTATATTACAAAATTACAAAATATAACAAAAAAGATTTAAAAGATACAAATGGCTCAGTTATGAATATCCCAGTATATAGCATTAAGACTGGGACTGAATTACAGAAGGATTCTGTATCTGAGGTTGCTGCTTTAAAGTCACAGTAGCCAAAATCTGTTGGAACAAAAGCTGCAAAATGCTTTACAACATAAAAGATTTTAAGAGTGCATCCATGGTGCTTCTATTCTATCCTACAGAAAGACAAAGCTAAACTCTTTTAATCTCTAACCTTTGCTTCCATAAGGCACCATAGAAAACAAAACATTGCATAAATCCAAATTTGAATATAAACCCTGACATGCCACAGACGAAAATGTCATAGACACAACAAAACTGCAACACAAATGTGGGCTAAGCAGGCGTCAAACATCCAACTGATCAAACTTACATAATATCACTAATATGATGTCACAGATCAGGGGCACACAACCCTGCAGAGAAGCATTCACCAGGAGCTCACAAACCAGCCAGCAGTGAAACTACATCACTATTATGTCACAGAGCAGAGGGTGTAATGAGCTGCTGATTTAACTGCAGGACCAGTATTGTGTCACTGTGAAGTTGCTGCAAACAAGAGAGTCTGCTGTACACACTCTTGACTAAGTGAACATCTGTCCTAAATGCAGGATAGCAATTCATGACACGTGTAAATAGAAATCAGCCACCAGTCCTTGTGATCTTGAGTGGTGCTAATTCCCTCTTCTTCTGACTGCAGTTTTACAGCTTGAAAAAGCCCTTATCTGTTACCTGGTGCACATGTTTCTGAGCTTTGTAATGGCCCAAATAAAAGCGCAGGAACAATCAATGAACAGCATCTATGTGAGGAAAAACAACACTGTTAGGCAGATGAGACAGGCCATTGAAACTACAAGAAGTGCTGAAGAAGAACTGCAGAATGCAACATCCCGATGATTAGTAAACAAACATGGTTACGCAATGCTTCAAACTAGAATTTAAACAGTAAAATACAAACACTGAAAGTATTACAACATTTTCTTTTGTTCAGCAGCCTTTAGGCAAATCCACCCTGAAAATGTTGCATCCTAACCCTGGCTGAAGCATGACCATGAGCCAAGGCATACAGCACTGGTGGTCTATTGTTTTATTGTAAACTGATACTGCCTGGGTGTATAAACTTGTCATGTGCTGGAAGCTTCCCATTGTTTTCTCAGAATCAGCTGTAGGCAGACAGAGTGAAGTTAACCTCCCTATCACCTCAACACCCCCATGTTTCACATATATGTCTTCAGGTGGAGAGTAATAATAATAATAATAATAATAATAATAATAATAATAATAATAATAATAATAATAATAATAATAATAATAATAATAATAATAATAATAATAATACAATGATATATTTCCATTCAAACCATCACATTACAAGTTAAGCATCTATTTTCACAGCAGCAGTTAATACGGTTAAAAACGACGTGAAATTGCTTATCGTAATTCCGGCTGTACTGTTTGTAAAGAATGCGCACGACATTTCTATTACCCCTAGTGAGGATGTTAGAGGCGTTTTATAGAGCAATAAAAGCCGTAAATCAGTCACTTTTAAACGACCCCTGGTTCCTAACGTGTTTTACAGGGTCTGACACAGTAGTAGCCGCACACTGCACGTTCTCTGTGGCCTACCTACACAATCTGTGGCTGTCTGAGCTATGAATACACTTTGTGACAGCGTTATTGCACTGCCAGAGCCCGTGGATGGGGTGGATGCAGGCTGTATGTATCATCGTTGATGCTTGTATATGCAAAAGCAGGAAGAAAAAAATGCCAGAGAGACGTGAAGGGAAGCAGATGCAGAACAATTCATCGACTGGCGTGGTATTTCAGTTGCCCATGTATTCCTGTAGAGACGTATTTGCGACTGCTTGTACTTCACACAAATTCGGTTCTACAGGGTATACATATAGACAACTAATGTGTTTTAGGTTAGACACTGTAAAAGGTCATCTGCCGGGCAAATATCTGTGGCAAGCAGGTTATCGTGCATTTCACAGTCGTGTCACAAGAAGCATCAGAGTGGAAATACCACAGAAAGCGTGCGTCAAAGCGGATTCTGTTTATCAGGATTCAAGAAGCAAAGCCACAAACAACCCCACTCCTGCTATGGATACATCTACAAGCAAGGGAAAACACACATTTTAGGTCCTTTCTCTAAAAATAAAATATCCGTGAGTGCACACGTATGCCTACACACACACACACACACACACACACACACACACACACACACACACACACACACACACACACACACACACACACACACACACACACACACACAAAGCATAAAGACGCCGTACGCAGAGAACAGAAAGGGTCTCTTTTCTCAACATTCAGCCTCTGCCTTTGAGGTGCCTCCTATATGAATATTCAGCTACAAACACGAAGGATACAAAGGGACGGCGTGACAGCACACATGAAAAATAAGTTTCTATTGTTCCCAACCATTTCTTCTGCTTGCTATTACCATACTGACCGCTCGGTAACCTTTCTTGCTGCCACTCTGGAAGCTAATGAGAAAAGCCTCGGATGAAAAATGCAATATCAGACATGTGACCTGTTTCGGGGTTATTAAAAACAGCAAACATGCTCAGATTGTGAATCAATGGAATTGATTAGAGCGGTGATGCACAGGGTGCTTCAAACACTGTCAAAAAACATCTCAATCTACATATTTCTCCGCCAGCATCCCGCGCATCAATTTGATTTTTTAAAATTGATTAACAAAGCCTCCCGCCCCAACACACACAGTGAACTCCCGAGAAGTGGTAACAAAAAAATCTAACTCATATTCATTTGGATTTTTTTCATATTCTCATCAAAAGACATGCTGTTTGTCGTGCACACAACCAGTGTGAAAGGAGCTACATACACACCACCTACTCCCTCTCGCCCCATGCGCTCTGGCGGACGCATTTTAATATTAGTTAGACAGCCTGACCCGCGTTTCACCCCTCGCGTTTGACTGGTTCCAATAGTTCACTGCCAAGGATTATTGATGGAGAGACAGCAATGAATTCTTTCTCCCCACAAATGGCTTTCAGATCGTGCACCTAGTTCAATAACTAGTTATAATGTAGAAGTACAAAAAATGAGGCCCTCAGGCAGACTAATTTGATGTTTCATTTGTTCATTTGAGAAATTAAGCTTTCCCTTTTCCTCCCCTGCAAAATAACAGCCTTACAAGCGTGTTCACACATGTACATATGTAAACAAAATAAATCTGTGCAAAACTATGTGGAGGTCGTTCTGTCCACGCAGTGCTGCTCTTTTTCTTTTTTCTTTTTTTTAATTTGGTGGCCGAGTACCTGACCTGGATGCAGACAGTGCAGCAATATTGTGCTCCCTGATGAAAACGGTTACGATGCGCTTTTAATCAAACTCTTAACCTAATAGCCTTTCCACGTTTACTCTCCCCAGGTGTAATAACGTTAAGCTGTATCGTCCAGTTAAAATAAAAAGTTTTAATGAAGTGCAGACAGACTGGAGACTAGTTGGATATGAATACTCTTTAAAAAGCAGCAGCCAAGGGAGCAGAGGCGGTTTCAGAAACCAGATTCCTCCTATAAACAGTTGGTTGGTTTCGAAGCAATGATGTGGTTCATAAGACTCACTGCGCAGTTAAATCCGGCTAACTGGCACTGCAAGAAGTTGAGAGGATAGGATGGTAATTCCATCTTAAGTTTTTGTTTAGGCGTCCAATGTTGGAAATCGTAAGAAACGAGACACAGAACATAACGCCAGAGTGTCTGGATAAATTAAGTGGAAGTGCAGATATTAAGGTGGTTGCTGTCATTGAAAAAGCAACTCCGCCAGACAAGCTTTACTCTCAAATAAAGGTAGGCAGATAAGCGTGGGGCAATGCGTAACACTTACTATTAAATCCGCAGTCTCACTCACGTTGGCTCGTTGAAATGCCTGAAAAATAGAGAGAAAGAACGAAAAGAATTAAAAGGGTAATCATGACAAAATGGTTCATAAAGGTCCATAAAAAATTTCCTCATTAAGTGACAAAATGAATTTTTGCACCCAAACTGCAAAAATAAAATTCTCGAGGAAGAAATTAGCTTTATAATTTGTTCAATTAATATTTTATTTTTAAAACATGTATTAGACACCCCCCCCCTCAAAAAAAAAAAAAAAGAATAGAAAGAAAATGTTACTCAGTGTTCTCTAAATTAACGAAGCAACCTATTTGTCACGCATTTGAAGATGGCATAAACATATGCGGTGTCCGTACCATATTTCCGGTTTTTTGCTCCAATTTTAAAAAGCCACTGTATAATCTAAAAATAAATCTAAATATATAAATTGGCCACATACAAATATGAAAAGGAGATTATATAATACAATCGAAAGCCACAAATGTATTTCATTATAATGATTCCCTTCGTGTTTCCTACAGTAAATCACTCAAAGTTCAAATACAGAAAGAAACTGTTTGCATGTGTTTCCTTTTTTCCTAATGACCCGTCAGTCCGTCCCTTTGCCTCTCATATCCTCTGCTATCTACTTAAGCGAGGCTGTCCTAGAAAAGCTCTGACATGTGTAGGGCTGCTGCAGAACTGGGACCGAGGGCGGAAATTTAGGACGGGTCATTTTCAGACAGTAAAAGTAAATTTACAACCATTTTGGTATTTCCTTGGGCAAATTTTCTAAGAATAGAAATCCCAGGACTTCCAGAGCGCTGTGGAATTATGGCGGAGAGTCAATGATAATTCAAAAAAAACAAAACAACTAGTTTGTCTTCACATTGTAAATCAATTCTTGCTGAGTTAAACAAAACAACCGATGTAATAGGACTTTATTGTTTTTATTTGGGCTCAGACAAAAGGATGTTTGTGTTCACCCGGAAATGACCTCCGAGGTTTGAATGATGACAATGTCAGCTCCACAGGTCAAAGAAAGGAATACGATAGCTCAGAACATGGCAGTGAAAACGGATGTTTGTGCCATTTCACTTTTATTGCGATGCTATAAGAGTGTTTTTGGAAAGGTCTGTCCTAGTTTTTGTGAGGTTAAACCAGGTCTTTAATTCAAAGTGACTAAAAAGTACTGAGAGTAAAATTAGTTCGATTGTAATAAGCGCCCTGTAGCCCCATGAATGTGGCAAAACACACGTTAATATTTGTTTCTAATTTATTGTAAAAGAAAAAATATATTTACTAGTAATTTCTGCAGGAAAACAAATATTTTCCTTTTGTTTTGTTTCATTTTAGTGCGAGATTTATGGGAGTTAATGGGATATGACAAATGTCTGTATTACGTAAAAAAGCAACGAAATTGCTTTTGAAAAAAGGAGGAAATAAAAAATAATAATGAGAAGAAAGAGGAACTAACAATGCCCTGACTTGGACATGTTGCCCCCGCAGTGTATCACCCACACAGCAGCGTGTTATACAGTGCCCCCTATTGAAAGTGTATAATTTTTCCCTTGCACACCTGAAAGCAAACCAGGACAGACTTTACGTATTCCACATAAAGAAAATATTAAAAATAGGTTTGTAAAGCCAGGACTGGAGAGATGCGGTAAGTGGTCAGCCTTCAGTGCATTTGTGCACAACCTAAAGCCTCGAAACTCCTCATTTGGAAGAAAGCTGACTCAAATACTTTGTTTTGTGATTTTTAATTCTCACATTATGCAGCATTTACAGCCTGTAAATTCCTGATTCACCTTGTGCCTAACAGCATAGCTGAACACACCCAAAAAGTCTTACTGTTAGATTCATCCATTCGCAGTTTCACACATTGAGCAGCTTTTCTAAGCTGAACTACTTTCTAGGACGTTTTTAAAATAATGTAGCCTAAAGAAAAGCAGAAACTCGTTTAGGTTATAAGATCACATAGTTTTAAGACTGATAACACATTTCTGCAAAACATGCACATGCACGCCTCGAGCTAACACTAGTGCTGCCTTTCGTAATATTTCAGTTTGGATAATGGCATATTTGAACTGCAAAAATGCCTTTGACTCAAGCCTGTTCCTTTGGCCCAGACATGACCCTAAAACAATATGATGATGAGTGCAAACAGTAACTTCGAGTCATGGTAGTCAGGTGGTTTTGCACTAATAAGCCTCTTTTTGTGGACTAATGCATTCTTTTAACCATCAGAGCCACCTTTTAGCACAACACAGAACAGCACAGAACAAATGTCACAAAATATGCTTCGAAACGTTGTGTATATTTTCAAAAAAGCGCATTTTCTTCCATCCAAGCGTCTGAAACCACGGCGCTTTTATTTAGAATTTCCGTATGTCACATGGAGGTAAGAGTACGAGGGGGATATTGGAAATGAGAGGGAGAGAGAGGGTGTAGTGGTTAGTGAGACGGGACGCCAGATTATTTTTGATAGTTCTGCCTGAACTTTGCATTTTCCTCACAGTCACCTTTCTCTCTCTCCCTCTCTCTCTCCCTCTCTCTCTCTCTCTCTCTCTCACACACACACACACACACACATATATATATATATTATTTTCTCAATCTGACATTAAGAAGAAAACTGTTGAATCAAATCACATCCACCGCATGAAAATGTGCGTAGGCCTATATTCTGTTATTTGCCAAGAATAAAATGCAACAGCCTTCAAATAAAAGGCTAATAATGGTTTAAAACGTGGCTCCTTAACACAAAATATCAGTGATCGATATATCCGTACGAGACACTTTTTGAATATTAAAAAAGAGCAAAGATACAATAAAACGTGTGAAAACAATCATTTTTCCGGGTGCTTAAAAATATGGCACAGTTTCATAAATACTCGCTGCGAATTAGTACATAGCGTCAATTTAGGCTCTAATCTGTTTAACAGTCACACATTCAGTTACAATATATATACAACAAAAACTACGCAGTTCAGTGAGCTAACGGCACAGCGCGCAGGCCTGTAGGCAAAGTAAAAACCAACTTACTGCAACAGCTCTCAGTCCTCCGCACCACTCGACTACACAGTCCAAAGAAAGGTACTGCATCCTCACTGCCACAAAGCCCTTTCTTCCTCCGATAAGGGGAAGCAGGCAGCTGCGATTCCGGACAGTTAAGATTATATATGATGTGTATATATCGAAGGTTTGTCAGCTCTTCCAGGCCATAAAACCCACTTAAATGACACCACGTGCTTCCTATGCACCATTCACAGGCCCTGCTTGAGGCAATTGGCATATGTAACCTTGTAAACTTTAAAATACCCTAAAAGAAAGACATACAAAAAGGGATTGAATGCGTTGTCCATGTATAGGTTAGGCCCAACACAGCGCAGAGAAAGTGGACGCTGCGCTGACCGGTTCTCATAACCGTCAAGGAAGTCAATAGGAAGCTATTAGTTTAAGAGGTGAGTTGATTTTTATTTTCTTTAAGTAGTGCTAGACAGAATTACCTCATAACCTTGGGTTATTCTGCGTCACGCCACTTCTTCTACTAAAACTGCCGCTACATTCAACAATGGCGTGATTTTATGTCCGCTATGCTACAGCGCTACCACATAGCGATGTTTTAACAGCAGTGTAATGATAGCAGGATTAAAGAGCAAGGCGACATGACAAAAGTAGCCATATGGCCTCAGCGGTGATGACGCGCCAGTGTGCGGTCACAGGAAACCAAAGTTTTGCATCCACGTTGTGTCGTGGGTGAGTGTTATCACAGGCAAGTGCGTCCCTTCCTTCCCTGACAAAACAGGAAACGGAGTGTGCGTGTGGTGGAGTGCTGGAGAAGGGGGCAATAAAGTTTTATGGGGGCCTTAGACTTCCGAGCGCGTTTGTGAGTCAATGAAAATCTGTTGATTTCGTGGCTCAAATGGGACAACGCATTTATAAATGGCTTTGATAGTGAACTGAATTCCGCCAGCCAACCCTCGAAATGTGTTTTAAATAATAATAATAATAATAATAATAAATAATAATAAACGTGCATGCTGACAGCAGGGAATTCCCTTACTTTTAATGAGTCTTTATTGGTTACAATCAACGAACAGGCCATCTATCAGTTATTGTAGGCCCAGTGTTAATCAGGCACCTTAAGTTTACAAAGGAGGGAAGAGAAATTGTTCCATTGCACATTACAACATTATCACAAACAGCCACTGAATTGTACATAATGATTCAAGAGTCACAAGAATATGACAGACAACAGGGATGGTGTCTTCACACGAAATCCACTCACGAGGACATTGCTTATTGAACACACATTCAACAGCATCCTAAATGCAACATGTCACAGAGTAAATTTCAAAGAAAAAGAAAAAAATGGAGAGAAGTAGTATTTGTAAGACAACTTAACTGTTGCTAAGGATTTTCAGATAAGTCAGAATTAGTATTTATTTTGACTTTATTTGATTCACTGACCCCTTTGATGCATGGTGATATAAAGATGGGAGCTATTCAGGTTACCTCTCGCTTACATAATTTAAAAACATTTTATTTTTTTTCTTCTTTTAGTGTTTGTGTGCACCTTTTCAGTGTACTGCAGACCAAAGCTTTGCAGCGGGACGGTTCCAGCTAACCCTCGACCCCCTGTTCCTCTCGTGCAGTAAAGTGAGGCTATCATCGCATGGGCAGCAAATTAATTTAGAAATGTAAACCGATTGATCAAAGTGAGCGATATTCAATACATTAGGTCCCAAACTGCAGCAAGTGACACATAATTGGTGATGAAGCACACAGAGCGGTGTCGTGATGTCATTGCTCCTAGCAGTTCATCCGAAGGTCAGGCGGCACTCCAGCATTGTGCAGTGAGGGGGGAAAACGTGCTGCATGCACCGCGTTCGCTGATGCCATTTTTACTCCTTCACTTTGATTTTTGAGTCCTTCTTCCACTTCATTCGTCTGTTCTGGAACCAGATTTTGATCTGCCTCTCGTTTAGACACAGAGTGTGGGCGATCTCTATGCGCCTGCGGCGGCTCAGGTACCGGTTGAAGTGAAACTCTTTCTCCAGCTCCAGAGTCTGATAGCGGGTGTAACTGGTCCTGGACCGCTTACCCTCCGATTCTGAAGTGGTATTAAAATAAGTTAGCTTTCAGCAGCATTAGAGTGGAAAAAAATAAGTGGAATATAAATAATAGGCTAATAATATCATTACATTCATTACTATTACATGTTATTACAAAGCCTGGATACCCATAAGCACTACAAGCAAGGATCCATTAATTTAAATCCCCTTCAACCCCCATTTAAAAGATCAAAAATCTTTATATAACCTAATTTTAACCTGATATTACTTACTGTGGACTTGTGCAATAAAAATTTATGTTCATGCAGATAAGGATGGTTAACTAGACCCTTAATATAAATATGCTCAGTGCAGGGGAAGAGGGCCCACTTAATCCTTTCACAGCAAAACATAAAAAATACAAAATATTACTTAATGCATCTTATCATGATTTAATGCTTAGAAGTTGATAACTAAAAATATGTGGGCCTCTCGATAAAACCCTGGCCTCGGTTTAATAACGATGCACTGGAGTAGGATGTTGTGGGGGAGAAGCAGATATGTAAACTATTAAAAAAAAAGAGGGGGGCGGGGGGGGGGGAGAAAAAGTGGGTTGAAGAAAGTGATGTTTTCCAGATACTTTTTTCAGATTTCCGTGGGTACATGCGTGCAAAGCAACAGAGCTGTGCTTTTGGAAAAAATAAAATAATTTCAACAACCCTGCAGTGTGTTTCTAGATATTTGCTCATAATAAAAACAGCATCTTTTGCAGCAAATGTGCTCCCTGTACGTCTCGCTGCCTCAACAGTACGCCAGTGGTTTGAAGGCATAGAGAAGAAGCATGCCTATTCAGATCTTTTAGAGGTGAAAAGTTCATGATTGGGTCAGGGCATTGGTGTTTGACAGAGTTCAATTTAAGGCTAAAGCTCCTCTCTCACAGTGTGTGTGCTGATGCAAAACACATAGCTAGACCAAGTCTATAAACGAAGCATGGCAAAAACTAATACTTAATGCTGCATTTGTAATATTATTCCATAGTTTTATCGCATTTTTGTTCTCTTATCCAATTATGCCACCATAAATCACAGCGCAGATCACATCTTCACCGTAACAGAGCAGGTTTACGAGCAATGGATGCCTTTGTCATAAAATTTATGACCGCGAGTTTTTATTATTTCCTGCGTTTGGCCTATAAAACTCAAGAGGGACACTGGAACGGGCAAAAAGAAGTGTTGTAGCGTTAAGGGTGAATAAGGGAAAGCATCTTAGCTGCACTTTAGAAAATATGCAAACTTTACCGTGGCTCATGTGCAGTTTTGTCATCCATGGATAAATCTGTGGTCGCTGCTCACTATCCTCAGGCTGGTTCACGTTTGTGTTTCGTTTCACGGACTGCGTGTTATCCGCGTTTCTGTCGCTCTCCTGGCTCATGTTGCCGCCGGATTTTGCGCTTCTCTCCGGGTCTCTGCCAGCCCCACGTCCGAGCAGCTTACTGCTGCCGTAGCTGAGCCCGCTGGCGTCCACAGACGAGCTACTGGAGACCATGGTTATTTGTGGTCCTGACGGGAGTGGAATATCCGTATTGCCACGCAGGCTAGTTTTCATCTCCTCCCGTTGAACAGAGGTCGTGGGGACGGGACAAGAGAATATCCCGTTCACATTAACACCCTCATAATGGCTGGACACGCGCCCAGATAGATCGAAACTAAACATAGTGTTAGGAGAACTTGTCTCGCTTGTTTGCCTGAGACTGGAGCTGTCAACAGAGCTCATTTCAAACTACCACCGACACTTTCTTTTTAAACTAGACAGGGCTGCGGGCTACACGTTGCGGGTATTTCCTTGTTTTTGTTGATCATTGCTTTTCTTTGTTGCCGCTTTTGGAAAATTCACAGCTGTCTGCCCTAAAAAATAATCCAGGATTTATAGGTGGAGTAGGCTTTGGTATCTTTTTTTAATTCTTGATCCGACGTGGGCTGCCCAAATATGGGGTATTTGTACGGGATCACGTGCGCATGTTGGCCAGTCATAAATTGGCTTTGATACTCAATGGGGATATTGATGAATAGGAGAAACGTGTCCGGTAAACTTTGAGCTGTTGGTTGTTGAGGACCAGGCAGGGATCTTTAGCGCAAAAAGGGCAGGACAGTAAGACAAGAGCGTCATCTGGTGTCTGGTATGGGGCAAGACGGTCAAGACCGGTCAGCTCTGTGCCCTGGACCCGCTGCCAGTCCACCATCACCAATAATAATAATAATAATAATAATAATAATAATAATAATAATAATAATAATAATAATAAAGCTAGGTTAAAATATATCTACGCGGATGGACTTGAAACGTGAACGTTGTTGGGAGTTTATATTACTACAGCTACGGGGATGTTATCGTGTTTAACAGTAGCTTAACAGTAGCTAATTCCTGTGCCATACCAATATCGGCGTCGAACAAACAGGTCTCATGTTTTGGAGAAACAAAAATTGCTTAAAAATATATGTTTAACGTCAAATCCTCCCTTTCTTGCCTACACAGCCTCCGGACCAAACAGGCCACGACAAAAAAATCTTTAAAATTTAAAGAAAAGCATAAGAAGAAAGAAATAGCAAACTTTCACAGTCCACGTTTAGGAAATCTCTTCGTATTTTTATTACGTATTTAAGGGATCTGTCTTCATCTGACTCATGAAACAGACAAGACAAAGGTGAAAGTTTTACAAACATTTTATTCCGTGATACACAGTTATGACAAAACATTAATGTTTGACTCTCAAACAAAGGTGAAGAATTACTAGTGTACAAATCTATCTCACGAGGAAGCATGTTGTGTCAAATGGTCAATGATCTTATGTTATGCAGCGTCTACCAAAGCGGCTAAATGCACATTACGTTTCCACGGGATTTACGTTATATACCGTTACTTTTATCATGTACAGACATTATGGTTTTTGTTTGTTTGTGTGTGTTTGCGCGCGCGCGTGTGTGTGTGCGTGTGTCTGTGCGTGTCTGTGTGTGCATGTGTGTGTTCGGACTGGAGACTACTACTTTTAGTTTGATGCAGGGCCCATTTTCCTGCGGACGATTCAAGTAATAGATTACATTGTGATCAAGTGTCCGCCCGCTCTTTTGCCTCCATGGAATGTGCATGTACAGTAATGAGTTTAGTCAGATCAACACTGTATTATAGTGAGGTGATCAAAGAGTTTCACAGTGATGGATGGGGTGTGTGAGAGGGGGGTAGGTAAATATACAGATTTCCTGGCATAGGAAGATAGGTAGAAATTAATACTTCTTTTTATTTCCACAATACAAGTGTGATATTTGCAATAAAAAACAAAACAAAAACAAAAAACCCTCAGTTCTCCACACAACACAGCGGCCAAACTGTGGCTGAAATAATTTTGGATTTCTAAGGATCAACACTCCTGTGGTCCAACACGAAATAAAATTGGTGAGAGCTGCGTGGTAGCAATCATGCGGTGAAGTCGCTCTCGAGTCCATGTAGATTTTTAGGTAGTTATGTTGGTTTGTAATGGTCATCGTGTGGTTTTTTATAATTTTTTATTATTATTATTATTTTGAGCTATTCTTTCTTCTTGTCTTCATCCTTCCCTTCTTCCATTGCGCCATTGCGTTCCTGCTCTTGAGACGCTCCTGTCTGTTCAGTTCCTGTCACCGTGGAGGTCAGGTTGCTCTCTTTCTTCCATTTCATGCGTCGGTTCTGAAACCAGATTTTGATCTGCCGCTCTGTTAAACAAAGCGCATTCGCGATCTCGATGCGTCTGCGCCTGGTCAGGTAGCGATTGAAATGAAATTCCTTCTCCAGCTCAAGCGTTTGGTAACGAGAGTATATTTGTCGTCCTCTGCGTCTGTCTGTCCCGTAGCCGACTCCTGCTGGGAGACAAAGTAAAGTCACTCATTTAAGCGTTAACAGCGCGAAGTCACGTTTGGATTTCAAATAAAACGTGCCTCTGCCTGGAGTCTGTTCATACTTGGAGGCAACTGAGCATAAGTTGGTTATTTTTTTTGCCTCGTTGTTAGATTCATAATTGCAATCTAAATCCACAGAGAAAAATAAACGCATTTTAACTGGAAGGGGAAAATATATCTCAAAGGATATCTTTGCTGTATTATCTAAAATTATTAAAGCTTCTTAAGTAGTCTCTCTATCTCACTCTACTGATTATGGCTACTATATCATTCTTAAAATGAAAGCTGTTTGTTTGCACATGTTAAGGCCCATCTACAAGTCGAGGGGATACAGTAATGTTTTATGGGGCCATAAAAAGTAACTTGCTCTCTTGGTAAGACATATCGTAAAACTGGCCCATTTCCTTAATTTATTTGTCGTAGTAAAACTCACCGCCGTGTGAGTTCATTCGCTGCATCCACGGGTAGATCGGGATGTTACTTTTCTGCTCCTGAGCTGCTGCTCTTCCTTGATCCAGACTGTACTCTTGAGCAATGTGGCTTTGTGTATTGAGTCCCATATTTGTTTGTCTGCAGCTGGGAAGCACGTCCTTGTCTTGAAGAAACACGTTTGATCCATACTCATACTGTGCCCTGCCAGACCCAAACACCACATTATCTTGAGGAGAGTAGAAAGGTGCATATATCCGATTCTGGGTCACAGCGGCACCGTACGACGAAAAATGTCTAACTGTGTCATAGGTGGTGGAGTTTAGGGGTACGTTAGGCAAAACATCTTGACCACCGGATAAATGGCAGGAGAGCGACGGGTTCGCGAAATAAGAATTCATACCTTGCTTGTAACCCTCTCTCCAACTCTCCCCACTTCTTTATCGGTCTCTTTTCAATCTCCTTCTCAGTAAATCTCTGTGTCAACCAACCACACCTTTCTCCAAGGTCTTCTTTTTTTCCTCGACTTTCTGCCTCTGTAACTGGACGTGAGCTACTTTGAGGATTCAATATTATTAATTTCCAATCTCCGGTTAAGACGCACAAACCCGAGTGTTATAGCCGAGGCTTGGCTCGGTGAGAGACAATATGACAATGTCAGCTGACCATTCTCAACCAATTGAGAGGCAGGAGTTGAGGAGAAACTGTAGCTTTTAGCTCAGAGCTTGAACATTACGGCTAAATGTCGATAAACACAACGTAGACTTGGAGTGGCACACTATACAGCTTGGCTGAGTGAGAAGTTTTTGGCTTGAAGTTTATGAGCATGTGTCGTTTAAGCAGAAAGCAAGATGGAAAGCGTGGCCAATGTCATTCAGGACAGAGACCACATTCAGAGGAAGGAAGGAGATGGAGAATTCTAATGAAAAACACGTGAAATATTATACAAAATGCCTATTAAATAGTGACCAATAGAAAAAATAACACGGATATTAAAGCTGTTTACTAATGCAAAGCCATGAACTGTCATACTAAGTTTTCGTGTGAGTGATCTTGTGTGCGCATGTGTGTGTCCTATACCCAGTTTTAATCCATAATACAACATACACTGCTGTTTATCTCAGCCATATCAACAACTTTCCAATTTCCATGCTTTTGCAGTGACCTGGGGGAGGGTGTCGGCGGTAAGAATGCGTTTATGGTCTCTCTTCTGTGAGGGCAATAAAACAAGTGACGTTCCCCAGCTCACCAACAACTATCTCTGCAGCAAAGCCTTGAAACACAGGCAGCAATCTCTCCCGCTAAGAATCAAAAAAGCACTGCACAGCGTGTGGAGGCAAAGCAAAGACAAAATCGCGTGCAGGACAGGTATGGCACAGAAAGGGGAAAAAAGAATGAAAAAAATGCTCCTGTGAAGATGACTTCTGCCACCATCTTGAAAAAAGAATCCAATCAGTTGTGCGATCGTGCAAACCTGCTCATCAATGCTCACTGCTATTTCTCAGGTATAGTCTGTTCAAACTCACAACAAAGAACACTTTACTTCAAATTAATTAAGCAAAAAAATGTAATAGGCAACATGTTAAAATGCTTATGCAGATGTTCCAGTCTCTTTTTTCTCTCTCTCCTTGTGATCGTGCTTTGACATTCCTGTGACACACACAGAGGAAACGGGAACCGATTATTATCTCAGCACCAAATGATGGGTTTGGAAATTACTTTAGAGGCGTTTTGCAGAATTCTAGAAAAACTTGATCACGTGTTTTGACCTAAACGAGCTGCCTCCAAAATCTGCATTAGACGAGATCGCAGTGCGCTAATTTTCATTTTCATTTTAGAAAAACTTTTCAGATGAATTAAAACTAAAACGCCACACGTGCTTTCGAAGTAGTTTTCCAAATTAATGTGGCCGGTTTTTGTTTTGTTTTTTAATTTACTTTAATTAAAAAAATTTTTTAAACAAGCCGCATCAGATAGCAATATAATAATAATAACAACAACAATCAATAACGCTATTGAAAAAGTCTGTTAAACGCAGCCCCACTGGCTGCAACAGCCTATTGGTTCACCTCATTGATTTCTTCAATGGAGTGAATTCGTGCAGCCTAAACGTGCAACAGTGTTTGGTCTGTTGTTTGGGATCCTGAATAGCCCATAAAAGAGACAAGAACAAAGAGAAGGAAGTAGCTGGTGCAGTAAAAGTTTCCCTTCAACTATTTGTGACCATATGTGACATCCGCGTCGCACAGATTTGAGGCAAATAAAGCGCAAAAGTTGGAGCCTGCAGTTTTCCTAAATTTCCGTCCTGGGACTGTTCTTTTTCCCCTCTTCTTTTTGATATCCAGAAACGAAATCACTTGATGACGGAGGTTAAACCAACACTTATAGCAGGAGTAAACTACTCGGGGTCCCAGTTTGTTTAGTGAACTTCTACCCTTCAGTGTGGTGTAATTTCAAAGGAGACCAAATTGTTGCAAACATTAAAAAAGTCAGTTCCCCCACTTTGACTGGAACTTGAATCCCACCAAAGTAAATATGAACAAAACGCAAATAAAATTGAAGTTTGTGATATTATATTTTTAGTCAATCCGCCCTCATGGTGGCAGAAACGGAATGTGCAATAGATTTGTGAAAGCTTTCCTTTGTTTAACCATTTCTGCTGTCGTCACCAAGTAGTCGGCATAATTTATTCCACACTGCAAAGTGTTTCAGATTAACACAATTTTCAGCAATCTCTATTCCATCAAAATCCACTCGAATTATTTGAGTTCTCAACCACAGATTTTCCTTATTGTTATTTACAGACACACACACACACACACACACACACACACACACACACACACACACACACACACACACACACACACACACACACACACACACACGAAGAACAGAGCGGTCTGTAAACTTTGGGTTGTAAATAAAAGCTGAACAGTAAAGCCAATGTGTGGACTGGAGAGACTGGAATGCAGGAGAGCTTGTGTCAGTGTGCAGAATTAGAAAGGTCATTCTTTCCCTTGTGTTTTAGTGTTTTATTGCGGCCCGTGAGGCAAATTACACGCACGGCATTTGATGCAGGGAGGAGAGGAACCGTTTGGTGCGCGTTTCCACAATTTTTAAAAGAACATTATGTCCAGCGACGAATGCGTGAACCAGGAAAAGTAAAAATATAAAATACTATCAATACCCTAACATCCTGTTTCTAACCATGGGAATTAATAAAGATCATTCATAATTAATTCCTCAGTGTTATATGCCCTGAATTTGTAGTTTTATATGGTGATGCGCAACCAAGGCATAAACTAAGCTATTATTATTATTATTATTATTATTATTATTATTATTATTATTATTATTATTATTATTATTACTGGTTGAATTCTTACGCTTTGATGTGTTCTTGTGCTGAAGGCCTAACTTTGATAGCCCGCGCTCTGCAGCACAACATGGCCCATCAACATCTACGGTTGCTTCTATTTTTTTCTTAAACACAGCTTTCAATATCCAACATCACAACATCACTCAGCATTAGTTATACGGGACCCTTAAAATTTCTACATTATCGGCCATGATTAAAAACGCAGCAAGAGGGGCAAAGTCTGGTCATCCTCTGATGCTTTTTCCTCTCCCCCGCTTCTAACCTTACTAATAAGGAGTAATTCACATACTAACAATGTAAAGCCCTCTATAAGCACTTTACCATCGCTGGCTAGCCCAATTAATGTCCGGAAGTGTTCGACTTTATGCTCGTTAAGCACTCAGGAAGCTGTTGCCCAATGAGCGCATGTTGATCCACACATCATAAATTATGGCCATTAGTAGGCAAAATTTTGGTCCTGTCGGGATTTGTAAGTGAGGTTCTAAATGTGGTGATGCGGACAGATTCATGACTTCATGGAGTTTAATGCGAGCCTATCTCTGGGTTTAAAAAACACTGCAGGGCAAAACAATGGGCTGTGGTTTTCCCTTATTATTTCAACCAAGATTTACCTAACAACTCAAATGGCATCTATTAAATGGGCCCTCTTTCGCTCTCTCCCTCTGTCTTTCTCTCTCTCTTCTGCAGGCATAGTGCTGGGCAGCAGCGGACACGATCCATTGCAACAGCAATGTTTCATAAGGGAAAAACAAACAACGTGTTTAACAGTAGGTTATAAGAATTTAAAGGCTTTCACAACGAGGCTTTGCCAATAATTGTATTTTACAAGATTGAAACGCTGGACTGCTGAGACAGAAACAGATCACGTCGCTTTATTACATAAAAAATATTTCGTCTCTACACAGAGAAGAGAGGACAATTCCTCAAGCTAAGCTTTGATGAAACAACATCGCCAAACTTCAAATGCACAGCCTGCACACACACACACACACACACACACACACACACACACACACACACACACACACACACACACACACACACACACCGTGTTATTTAAGATGTCTTTGGATACTTGTGCAATGGATACACTTCGTATATATTTTGTCTTACACTGATACTCCAATTCATTATCCTTCTGTTTTTTACTGAGGCTTTCGTGGTTTCTGTCTCTCCCACACAAACACACACACGCACACACTTGACGAGTTTAAACCTCATTCTGTGCTTTTTTTCATATGAAGTCCAGAATAACGTAAAATAATTGATCTGGATTTATTTTAATCAATACATTTATTTAATTGTTTTAGTATTTTTAGACGTGTTTGAAAGAAATTTGGGGAAGTGAAATGTATATGATGCAATGTCCCACCATTCATGCACAATATGCTATAAACAATGCACTGTATACACTCATTCTGTCTCACTTATGACGACACATTTGCTACTGTTAAATGTCCACTGCTGTTGCTCTTGGTGTTGTTGATATTGTGCATATTTGATACAATTTTGAACTTATTACTTACTCGTCCTATTTTATTTTTTTTCCCGGTGGTGTAAATAAAATGAAATGTTAACTCTCACGAATGTCGTGGCGTGCTTATGTGACAAAGCAATATCTTCTACAAATCACTTCATCTCATCATGCTAAAACGAAAACAATAAAACAGACGAATCTCATTCTCCAAAGTGACAACAACAAATCAGAAACACTCTTCGGTGTCAGGTCGAGCAGTTACTCGCTGGCAGCAGTGTATCAGCTGACATCCGCAGTGAACCGCCGCCGAAAACCAGCAGCCATAAACATCAAGCCTCAACACCCGCCCACCTCCACATATAACGCCTCTTGTCGCTAGGGGGCACTGCCGGGAGACACCAGTGTGTCACTGTGTACATACTGTGAGCCTATGTGTTTCTCGTGTGTGCGTGTGACATAGGGATGTGTGAAATTGCTTATAGATGTTATGCAGGCTTCTGGCAGAAACTGGGTTAAACGTGTGGCAGCAGATGTGAAAACAAACCATAATTAGAGAACATCAGCCAGAAATTAATATCATTCGTCACTGCCTGGTGAGAAGGGCCTATGTGAGTGATGAGAAAGTTTACTATCACAAGGCAATCAATTACATCGGGTTGGCACAGCGCCTTTAAAAATACACACTGGATGTAGGCTGAAGCAGCCACTACCCACACAGGTGCTGCCACATCAGCCAGAAAGAAATAATGACAACCGCCCCGGGCTTCAGCACCCTCCCAGGCTACAGGTCAGGTCACAACTACACTGAATAGACACCTTCAGTTCTCATGATCTCACACGTTCATAATTTTCACAATCATCTCAACGCCACAAGGACCAGCCGATTGAGAAACAGATCATTAAACAGTTAAGAAAAGCAGCTAGTAAAGTGTAATCTTACCCCCAGCAGGCTCTCCACAATTTCGAGCGTCACTGTGGTCCAACAAAGCAGCTGAAGGGTCACGATGGCGAGTGGGATATATCAACACAACGCACATCTCCTCTGTGCTGCTGGCTGTGTTCACATTCCGGCGATAAGCAGCTTATGGAGACAGGGTGTCTGCCGGGAAAAGTCTTTTCTAGCAGGCTTTCTTCTTCCATTTGCTGTCCCAGTGGTTTTATTGCCTCCGGTGGGGGAATAAACGCAGGCAGCGGCTGGTAGAGGCGGTGACTGTCCCGAAGATCTCACTGTCAGGAAGTCGGGGATCGGGTGAATAACACGCGCGGCAGTGCCAAGATGACTGTGCAGCATTTTTTTTTCTTTAAATATTACAATAAAGGGAAATAATATGTTTCTACGCCCCAGCTTAGTCTGCTGCTGATACAGGGGAAGGACCAGAGAATAGACAACAGCATAAAGTTCATGTTCATAGCGCCTGTGCCACGTGGCTCGCTTCAGCCAATGGCAGAAAGGATTCAGTCGTAAACTTTTATTACTCAGCTGTAAATTTCTCCTTTTAACAACCAGGAATGTTTGCACCCATCTTGTCTTTCCTCTCTTTTTTCTTCTTCTTTTTTTCGATTGAACAAAACTAAACCACCAATAATATAATACATGACAGCGAAATTCCCCATATGTCACATATCAGACATGTGTCAAAATATGACAGTTCCCCTGGTGGATGAGCTCTATGCCAAGATGTCCCCCAGACAAGTTGGGAACGTGGAAATAAAAGTGTGTGAGTGCGAAGGCGAGGTAGGGGAGTAAGAAAAGGACAGAAAGCGACGGAGACGCAACTAATTAAACTTCAATTAGGCTAAACTCTACTTCCATATAAGGGCCTGTGCTTCTCATACGGAAGCAAACAGATGTCAGGATAGTATGCACCTCACATCCAATATCAAATACGCAGACACACCAGGTGCAAGCATAATATCAAAAATTATGCCTGCTGCAAGTCATTTGTAACAAAATATACATTTTAAAAAGCAGTTGAGATTTGAGCTGGAAAAGAGAACACTCTGTTATGAAAAGAAATATACATACACTGCAAATGTTGTGCAAACCTTTAACGAAAGCTAACATCAGCACACGCAGAAAGAAAACAAAATATCTAATCGCTGCGCGTAAAATTCCTCACGCATAAAAAGTTAGGAGGTTAGGTGTTTTTTTCTTGACCTTCAGCAAATATACTGTATCCTAATACTTGCGTAATAACAGAGAGACACGGATCAAGATGAGAACAACAGCAGACGTATTATTTAATTTAACACTAACACGCAGCTTTGTATCTCGTAAATCCTTTTACAGGAAGTCCTCTGGCTTCGCCTTGAAATAATCACCTGATGTGTCGTTTGATGGCGAGTAAAGCGCATTCTCTACAAGCTAAATAACTAACTAAATTTCCCTCACTTACTAGTTTGAGTGGTGCATCTTGTCCTTGCAGGCCGTCATCGCCACACGGAGCTGAGACACACAAAAGATGCAGGCCGAGCCGCGTCTTTACCACCGCCAATAAAGTTTACAGCAGGTACACTTAACTTTATTGGTAATGTCAACCCTCTGTTAAAACTACACACACACACACACACACACACACACACCACACACACACACACAGAGAGAGAGAGAGAGAGAGAGAGGAGAGAGAGAGAGAGAGAGAGAGAGAGAAACACACACACACATTCACACAAAGGGGTAATACGGGATGCTGGATAGCTGTGACTAAGGGACACTTCCGGAAATTTTCTAGAGACAAAGCGCACGTAAACAGAGAAATAAACACCCTGAATTAAAAGGTTGCGCTTTGGCGCAACACTGTTTGATCCGAGAGAGAGAGAAAAAGTCACTGTTAGGGGGAAAGCCATAAAAAGAGGAGACGTGAAAGACTCCGACATCTTTTGGTCTCAGTCTGGATTGAGATGAAATGGGAATGTTTGATTGAAAAATAAGTTTCCAGTTAATGTGGATAAGTTTGCGTTTTTGCGAATAATGTTCACATAAAAAGCCTTGAACACTGCTTTCGTTCTGTCTTCCTTCGTTAGGCTGTGTTATGTTGTTACCCTTCAACACTATTTATTTATATTTATTAATTCATTTTGTTCAAATAAAAGAGGTCTGAAGCACAACAAGAGGTTAGTTCGTTTTTTGTTTTTTCCTTTTCTTTACAAAAGAATTCTTAGATGAGGATAATTTTCCAATTACGAGTGTGGGCTTAAATATAAATAGTTTCAATCGCACATTTCAATATGGACACTTTTTAACTACACATTATAAAATCCCCTAACACTTACTCCTTGGCATTGCATTTGTGTCCACAATGTTCCATATATGCACTGAAGCTTATTTGAACCGTTTATAAGTGAACAAATAAAAAGCAACAGACTTTGAATAATTTAGCTGCCTAACGCTGAAATTCGGCAGCTAAATTATTCAAGTCCCGGGTCATGTTATGGTGTATTTACTACTATTATTTACTTTGAAATTACGTCTAATATTGCATTAAACTTGCAATAAATGCATTTTTTAAAGAAACAATATGTTGAAAATCATTCTGTTCTCAATTTGAAAAATTCAGATCCGGTTAAAAAAAGGGGGGTGAGGGGGGAATCAAACCAAGAGAAGGGTGAGGTCGAATTTCATGTTTTGAAAAAGAGGGTTCAAATTTCTGTTGAGGGCTAATATGATAGAGCAAGTACTGGTATTTTACCCCGTTAACAGCACGTTCAGAGACCCACATTGGTGTACCGTTTGATATTTATCGCAGTTTAGTCCTACTTGAGTGTGTTACTCAGATTTCACGTTGTCTGTTCACGTCCTCTGTCTATTACAACCCGTCATCATGAAAACCAGCTGGACTGCCGAAGAGAGATGTTACCTGTTACCTGCACTTGGCCTCCCCCGTTCGCTTTGATTTCAGCGCTCTGGTGCTTTTCCGGCGGATTGTCTGGACACAAGATTCACGCAACACCTTGCAAATGTATGGCCTCCGACAGATAAAGCCTCCCTCAAGCTCTGCCATTACTTTGTTTGATTATTAACATAGCACGTCAAATGTTTGCTCATCTCATCTCTCAAACAGCAATCAGTCATTCCGAGATTCATTAAGGAAAGCTTCGTGTCCTCCCCGAAGAGAGGAAGTTTCTTATTAAGAGGATGAATCAAATACGACTCAGGCTTTGGAGAGTAGGCCTGCTGTGAATGGGATTCGCTGTCTTTCCTTAAAAGGTAAAGGGATACATCCGCAAACGCGTGTCTGGCGCTTTTTTTAATCGAACTGTTCTGAAAGTTTAAATTGGGAAAACTTTATTTAGGAGGCTTCTGCACTATCTTCCCTCTTGCCGAAGCACTTTTTGGATGCACAGGCTGAAAATCGAGGCATCATCAAATCATCAGTTTTGAATTATTCAGGGGGCTTTTCTGTTGCACGTTATCTACTTACTGTTGTCCGTGCATGAAAACAGGGGTTCATATTGAACTCTTTACAGTGTGTAAAAAAGAAAATACTACCCTGCATATTTTCACTTCACCTATGTCTGCATGCATTTGTTTTGTGTACACGGAGAAAGGGTGGTGATGATGTTTGTTCTAACAACAGAGTGCACAGTCTTAATAAAACCAGAAATGATAGTGAGCCATCTTGTTTATTCGTGATTTTACATCAACAATGGCGGGGACACACAATTCCGTCTTTCACAGGAGAAACACCAGAAAACGAGCATATTGTTAACATCAATATATAACAAGACGTACATAAAGATTATATTCAGTGCAAAACAACTACGCTATGTCACCAGCACATTAAAATAAAAATTCCCTTACTTTAAAATCGTTGTAATTGTAGCTGTTGTTATCATACACAGTACATGTGCGTTATAGGCAGTTTTAGTTGTTGGGGAAATAGCTTGCGATCAAATCAGAGCGATGCCATAAATGTGGAACTGTAAATTCTGCAAAGGCAAAGCTCTGAGTTTTTAGGTAGTGCTGTGGTACAATCTCAAAAGTGTTTACTTGGCTTTGAGCTAAGTGTCTTCCCAAGACTCGCAAATTGTCTTCAACAAGTGTATACTGTTTGTTGGGTAAATGCTACATACATAACTTAATAATATAAGGTCGATATAGAACACTTTAAAATTAAAACCATATGAAATCTCTATATTCAGAAATCTCTATTGCAATTTCCCCAGGTTTAGGTAGCATCAAAGGATTCCAAACGATTGCATTTCCCTGGTAATCCTAGAGAAAGATGTCTGAGGAGCTAATGGCTGTCACATGAAAACGAGTAAAACAGTAACAGTAACAATTATAATAATAAAACTTGTGGTTTATACAGAGGCTGCTAGCCAATGCAACTGTTGCGATGATGTTTTAACACTTACTACTAAGTTATAGGCCTACATTTTTTTTACAATTTCAGAAAGGCTACTTTGAAGTGATGTCTTTTTTTATGTAGGCTATAATCTATTTACAACACAGGTCGGCGTTGGTCATGTTTTGATCTTATTTGGCTACGTTTTTGATACAATTATTATTAAAAGCAAATTGTAAAAAATAGCTAAGCCATTTTCCATCCAACATGCGTTTTAATTTACCCTCCCTTATTTTTTTAAAACAATGGCCAGAGTTCTATGGAGAAAAAAAACGCTACAAGCGTTTGTAGCTTCTACAGAAAAATCCAAATGGTAATGCGCATCATGTTAGGATAAACGAAAGAATGGAGAATTTTGTCTATTTATGACAGCAATATTGGTGGGATTCCTGATCCCTCTTGACAAAATAGAAGGGTGGTCATAAAGTTGACGCTCTCTGCCTCCTTGTGACTCTTCGTCTGTTTATGGGACCTCTCCTTTTTTCCTCTTTTTCACCCATATAACCATAAAAGGACCATAAAATCACTCCTTGGTCTCTTCTTTCTCTTCCGCTTCTTTCTCTTCTGCCTCTTCCCCTTCACCGTCCTCGTTCCCCTCTTCTTCGGCCTCGGCTTCGGCCTCTCCTCTTTGACCCGGAAACTTGTCTTTGTTGTTCTCTTTTTTCCACTTCATCCTTCTGTTCTGAAACCAAATTTTCACCTGTCGCTCGGTGAGGCTCAGGGCGTGAGACACCTCGATCCTTCTCTTACGGGTCAGGTAAGGGTTGAACAGAAACTCCTTCTCCAGTTCAAGAGTTTGGTAGCGACTGTAGGTTTGCCTCCCATTCCGTCTTCCTGGGGCTTGAAATATGAAATAAAGCCAGAGGTTAACAGGGCTCACCACGATCTCCCCATAAAGACATTCAGATGGCTGATAATTCTTTCTGAATTTACTCATTTCCTCTGCACAATCACTAACCCATTTCAGCTCTCACACATGCCAGATCACACTCAATGAAAAGAAAGAGCGAGTAGATGTCTTCTTGCAGTGTTAAGCTGGGTAAGTTAGATTTTCCATTAGCAGGAACATATATCAGTGTACACACAGACCACCCACAATAGAGTCCGTAGTTTGCTTGGGATCTGCAAATAAATGTCTTCAAAGTAATAATAATTTACACACATGTCTGCTTCATTTACAGTTCATTCTGCAGGTCTGATGCAACTTTACAACCACATCCCCCAAGAGTTAGTGGAGTAGGATATAGTATTATTACTTTGAAGTTCAATTTTTAATCTGTACACGAAGGTAAAATTGCTCTACATCCCCCATCAATTTAATGATGTTAAAACTCTACGAACAAAATCTATATACTCCTCCATGTCAGATTGGGAGGGGTGTTTACAGAAACTACACTGTTTCCTCTTGCAGCAGAGCCCATATAAACTTGACTGACATTTTCATTCATACTCATACAGGAGGACAATAACTAGGTAGGTAAAAGTATGAGAAGACAGAGATAAAGTTGGGGACGATATTGGGATGCATGTCTCTGAGCAGAAATGAAAAATGAAGCGCACACCTGTGTGGAGCTAAAGTAGCCTTATAGCCTGGACAGAGAGATCCATGAATGGAAGGGGTAATATCTACAAAGCCCTTATGATTATGGCTGTATGTGTCTGAGCCTACAGTGGGTCAAATTACCCCCAAAACTCAAAATTCTGGATAATCGTGGTATGTTGTGTTTTAGCTAACCCCCCTGTCACTCTGCATGCTGCTAGTGTGCATGGTATTATCGTATTTTAGACTACGACTTATCCATCCATTCTCATAGCTCTATTAGAGTTTGTGAAATATCTTATGTGAACGATAATTGACTTCAAAGAGCGTGTCATGTGGCTGTAATCAGCAATTCAGCGTTTAAAGGCACTTTGGAAAGCAACCATTCAGCCCTGTATGGGCATGTGCTGCAGAGTAACAGCAGCCTGCACTTCAGGTTCTATGTGCCCCATCATGTTCTCTGACTTATTTCGTTTTATAGTTTAGAGACATACTCTTGTACACCCTATGTATTTAGCACACATGCACAATCACACACACATACACACACACACGCACAGACAGGCGGATACACAGTGACACGCGCGCACTACACGGCAACACTGAAAGAATAGGAAAAATTTGTATGATTCTGACCGTGGGGTCTCATCCAAGGAAACATAAGACTGGGAGAGGAGTTTTGATTTAAGTGGCCTTGTCCTTCTCCGGGGTTAGAGCTGCTCGACGATTTACAGTCTGGGTATTGCGCTAGGCTTGCGTCTTGTTGGGTACCATAAAGCGTTTGCCTTGGAAGGGCTTCATATCCATAAAATTTCGTTGCGTCTCCGTGGCAAGCCAAAGCGCAGGGGTTTTGCTGGTATCCGGGGTTGGAGATCCCCGTGGTCCCGTGGTGAAAAAAGTCCTGCACATGATGGGATGGGTGCTGAAAGCCCGGTGCGGCTGCTCCGGGTCCGTAAACTAGCGTGTGGCTGCGGGCAACGCTTTGTGGAAACCTGCAGTCGTAGTAAGTTGGCTCCAGTGACTCGCTGCCTTTGTATTTAGAAAAAAGAGGGTTAACAAAATAGGAGCTCATGTTTAGTTAGCATCAAGCAGACGGGCTCTCTCGCAGCAGAATATCTCCTTTAGGATGATGGCAGCCTTTTGTTTAGGGTCCCAACTCGCACAGCGCACACAAGCAGACAAACCGGAACTAGGAGAAACGCTGCCCCTTTGGACAATCTACGGCAGCTCACTCTCTCTGAGCCGTTCCTCTCATCGGATTTCTCCTCGCAGTCGTGAGTGGGTTTTTTTCCAGGTTTTGCAGTCTCAAACCCGGCTCATGGCATGTGCTTTGGATGTGTGTTAGCTAAGGTTACAGCTGGCTCGCTCGACCGGCACAGTCACAGGCGCTGCTCTTTTCTTTCTTTTTCCTTTTTTTAGATTCCCACCCAACCACCCCCACCACAGGCTCCCTCACCCTCCTCCAACCTCACCCCCCACCCCCACCCCTTCATCTTTCCATGACCGGTCAGACGTGGGCCCTACGTATATCCACCTTGAGAAAGGCTTCACTAATCATAACCAACAATCTAAGAGGCTGTAAATATGATCAATGTTAAGTTTATCACACAAAAAAACCTTTCTAACAAGCTGAACAATTCAGTTGTGAAATGGTTACGATATAAAGACGATGAAGCATGATACATTTCCTGTGTAGTCTGAATTTATAGTTTTGCTTCTTTGTATGGGGGTTATGAGGTGTTTAAAGCAGGGAGGATTTCCCCTCTTTCTAAGCGGATTAAGCTGCTGTGATGAGGTATTTTTATTTTTTATTTTTTTTCTATCTAGCCCTGAAGGTTATATACAAGTTCCCAGAAAACAGTTGGCCTTTCTTGGGCTCCATTGGGTCGGGATGATATTTGGGAGTTTATCAACAGCATTAAAACGGTATTAAAAATAAAAACAACACAGATTCGGAGCTATTCAGTCCCCCGAGCAAAACACCGAATTGAAGACAAAACATTCCTCGATGCAAAACCGTGTAGAGGCCAAGGCGACAGATTTCCGCCAGGCGCTCCAAAGCACCGATGCACGCAAATATAAACACGACCTATGAATGCTATAGGTGCCATTTACTGACCCCGTAAAACCGACGAGGATGGGCAGTAAATCTCACACGGGGGAGTTCATAAAATTTAACATTGAATGTTTAGGTGCAATCAACTCGCACGATTCCCAGCTCAGTACTCGCGTGGTCTCTATGCCTGTGTGGGTTTTTGTGGGGTTACTGACGGTTTCTACACATCATCGTAAAATATGAAAGGCGCACTGGACGAATTTATAGACCTTTCACACTCTATAAATATGCAGATTGCTAATCACTTGTTGGAGAATTTGAATTGTTGGTACAGACGTTACAACCGACACGGACTGAGGACTAAAATGGTACAGGTAGCCCTTTCTTTACTGGACATATTATTATTATCATTATTATTATTATCATTATTATTGTTATTATTATTGTTATTATTATTATTGATGCAGCGGTTTATGCTTTTGCTGCTTTTGTTATCGATGTGTTGCTTTGTTGCCATTTATTTATTGCACTGATTTTATGTTACAGATGCAACTGTTTAAAAACTGCTAATAAAGGAGTCTCTGGCTGAATGTGATTTTCGGCTCTTTATTAATTGTGGATTTTTTAAATACTTTTTTAAATAAAGTGTCTCAGTCTGGTTTGAATTTACAGCTTGGAAAGCAGAGGCAGCAAATATAAAAAACACACAGATTATGCATTATTATGTATTATGCTTAATTAAGTTTTTGTAAAAGGCTATGAACATGTACTGCATGTATATTGCAGATATGATTTTGCGTTTTTAGAATTGAGCACACAACTACCACCCACAAAACAGCCGTATTAACTCATGAATCCACAGACAATGAAAGAAGCTACAAAAAAAAAACGAGTGAATAACAAAAGCATAATCTTTTTTTCTGAAGTGAAAAAAAGATTACTATATTTGCACAGATTGTTTGGCCAGCACAACAACCAGCTGGCTGCATTCCGGATTGCTGTTCTGTGGCCTATTACACAAAATGTGGTTGGTGGCCATATCTGTCATTTTGTCATCGATAGGTTACTCTTCACTCTTCAGCCAAGCCACAGAGCTGTAAAAAAGCTCTTCAACGCAGACACACTCCTCAAAACGTGGACATACAGCGTCATCTAGTGTCGAAATGTGTCATTAAACCTGAATAACTCCACCAATCAGCGACAACTGCTATGTGGCCAGAAAGGGTTGAATGTATAGAGGATGTGTGCACCCTGTATTTTTCTTTAAATAAAGTTAAAGCAGTTAATTACCGTGGAATCTATAAAACACGCGCCTTCTGTCTTCGTCTTGCTTGTCTGTAGACTTGAAATAGTTGCTGTGCTGTCGTTTCCTGTCGTGGCAGCTGATCACTTTTATACAAGAGATAATAGCGCTCTGCAGCACTCACATTTATGCACAATGGTTATTGACTTTTCCCATCTAATTGTAGACTAATAGACGACTCATATGATGAAGTGCAGGGGGTTTTGCGGCTGGCCCAGTCAGGCAAAAGTCCCCAGAACAGTGCGCATGCTTCTCCTTTGAACGAGTCCACCACCAGCGTCCATTAAAACCATAAAGTAATTTAGCCCAGACGTCTAGCCAGTTAGTCGAGTTTGCTTTGTTGGTCTGCATTTGAGACAAACAGCCGAGCTCCAACAGGGGCTGTAAAACTGGCATTTTTGTCCAAGCAGAGCGGAAATGCACTGGATTGGGCTTTGAAATTACAGCATCCTGCCCGTATTGTTTGCCACCACAAAAAGGCAATTTAGGTCTATCCCAGGAAACAAATGCGAGACATGGGAAACTGTCTCTCGCTTAAAACGAAACTTTTCAAATCTGGTCTCAGATTTTCTGATCGCCAATGAGCCTGGCAATGCAATTAACATTTAGTTAGAAATTGTGTTTAATTGGTGGTTAATGGGTTTTTTAGTACTCTTTCGGAAACTGCACAAATGTGGTTGATGGGCTACTTTCAACTCATATAGGGCATTGACCTAATAAAGAAATAAATATGGTAAAAACCTCGTGCATTCATCTCTGTCCCTATAAGAATATTATATGAACAATTTAAAAAGGATCGCCTATTTTAAGCCAGCATTTAAAATGTTTTGGTACATTTTAAAACCTTAAAGAGACGTGCTTTTGGGAGAAATTTATATAAAAAAAATTACTATGTATTTTGTTATTGATATAAAACATAATCAATTCTGCGTTGAGAGTTTTTTTCAGGTCTACTTACTCTCCTAAAATGGATAACGTATAAAACGGTATGAATGTGAATGTTTGCGACTAAGAAGCTGTAATTAAGACACAAGTGCAAAGCGATGCCAAGCAAAATTAAAACAATGCTGTCCCAGTAAAGCTTTAAATAGGCTACGCCAAACTTTCTATTTCGCCATTATTTGTAATAGCAGAGCTCATTTAGGCCTTTAATGTAATGGGGGCACACTCAGCGGCCAAAACAGTGCGTACTAAAAAATGTGAAGGAACTTTTATTAATAAATCAACCGTCTTTTGCGTTTGTAGTTTTGGTTGGGTCCGTTTTCCTGTTGTTTTGAATTTCAGAAATTTTTGTATCCATTTACTTATTTTCTAGTACGGGGTAATACTGCTTTGGATTCCCCTGTACAGCCGTGTAGTCTGCTAAATCCGATCGCAAATACAGTCTGCAAAGCCACAATAAACACAGAAAACAAGAGCTTGGGATTATGGTTATATTTGCAGAGGTCTATATCTACACTCTATAATTAAACTCGTAGGCTACAGTCAAAAAAAGGAGAAAGAAAATGTGCACAAATACAGCTACAACTATCACAAAAATACAAGACAGACATGTCGACCGCAGATGTTGCTGTACAAAATACTACACCTGCACAACAGCGTACAAAGAAAATAAACATGAAAGAAAACATTCACAGCATAAATTATGGTTTTTGTGAAATTCAAAGGAATTCAAGTATTCTCTTTCTCCGGACAGTTTAAGCGTATCCAAACTGCGCTTCTTTAATTTCTTTTACAAAACCACATATCTCGAAGTGAAAGCAAAGTGTAATTCTCTCCTTAGAAGTTTTCCGTTTTCTTTTTTCTTTCTTTTTTTCCTACTTAAACGCTCGACACATAAATGTACACTAAAAAATAATATTCGGCATCAAACAGTCTGGAAGTTAAGGTTAATACAAAAAAAATCCAACAAAAGTGATAAATATAAGGAGGAGAGGGGCGCTTGTCGTGTGTTTTGGTACATCTGTGCTGTCCATTAGACTAGTGGTTATTGTTGGTTGTTGTGTCACTGTAGTCCACATTATTGGTCTTTGCTGTCGGTCTTTTCTTTGTTCATCTTCTTCATCTTCATTCTCCGGTTCTGAAACCAGATTTTGACCTGCCTCTCAGTCAGATTCAGCACTCTGGCGACCTCGTATCGGCGGTCTCTTGTAAGGTACATATTGAACAGAAACTCCTTTTCCAGTTCGAGAGTCTGGTACTTTGTGTAAGGACATCGCTTCTTCCTTGTGGAGCGGGCGTGTATCCAATTTGCCACAGGGTTATCTGCAAATACAAACAACAGCAATGATAAAGACAGAATAACAATATAAGGCTAAATTGTGAAACAGATGACATCAGCATTAACTGTTCGGCCTTTAAAAAAAATAAATTGAATGAGCCCCTGGATTTATAGGAAATCTGTGGACTCATCAGAAAGTGCAACAAACTGAAAACAGTGCCAAGGCACACACAAGTTTGGGTGTACGTCGTTAAAGCTAAACTGCCAGTTAACATTTTAAGGAAAGATTCTCAGTCTTACACTTTCCAAGCCTCCACTGATTTGCTTCCTTGTCCCCTTAACTTGTGAGTAACACCGTCGTAAAATACTCAATGCGCTTATTCACTTTATTGGCCCATAAAATGGCCCGTGGTTCAAGCCTTTACAGGTCCGTGGTGAAAGTCCTCGAGTATGTCCCTACATTCCTCAAGTTGTCTGAAAAAAAGAGTCATGTGAATTTGTTTTGGACCCAGAGAAGAGAGCAGATAGTCATATGCATGCATCTCTTCACTATGTGAGAACCGTTTTTATTTCCTTTTATTCCATCTGGGGGTCAAACAGAGCCAGAATGTGGCTTTTCCACACGGAAAGGGCCCATCTAACAATACAGGACTTAAATTCGGCTTACAAGGTTTGCTGTGCCATCTTTAATAGCACGGGGTCAACATAAAGTCGTAACAATGCACCATATGACGAATATGGATTCTTAAGTGAGTTTAGGCCACCTTTAGAACACCTTGCATGTGTTTTAAGCTTATGCAACATCCTCCCAAATTCAACGTCTTCCTGTAGGTTTGAGTCCATGTTAACAACCCCGTCTGGTTTTATTGCCCCAATATTAGCCCAGAAGCATTTGTCTTTTATAGTTCCTAAAGCTTGCTCCCTATAGCAAGGAGCGATTCAGAGCTGAGCTGAAAGGAAGAATGCAGCAGTTTATAATTTTACTTTTAAGCAGGACGTTCAAACGGCTCTGAGCAAAAGCATATTTAAAGCTATCCCAAAAAAAAAAAACACCCACCGGGTTGTAAAAAGATCGTATAGGCGCATGAACTTACTCGGATCTAGCTCCGGTTTCTCATCTTTATGTTTTCCTGAAGCCATGAGCTCCGACTCAGGAGAGGGGAGATTCTGCTGCGTCTTGTCTCGCGTGTCAGTGGATGAGCAGTACAGATAATCCGTGTAGGTCCGCCCGCTGGAGCCGAGACACTCGCCGGCTCTGTGTTCTTGAAATGCATCGGGCTTCAACCCGTAGTGCCTGTTGTTCCCCGGATAGCCATGGAAAGGCACGGCGCCTGATATCGGCTCCAGCCATGACCGCACATATCTCGAGTCTGTGCCTAAGTGAGGTTGGTGACTGTATGGATGGTAAACCACTGATGACTGGGAGTGTACAGGGGCCCAGGAGGTGGAGAAGACGGGTGGCTTGGGTGCGAAGCTGCAGGAAGGATAGTCAGCACACTCCGGTACTAGCGACGTCGGACGAGGACCGGCTGGGTGCGAACCGGGCGCCGAAAAACGAGTTGCAGTAAGGACATCGTCGTTTTCATGGTTGATCAAGGAGTCCACATAATAATTACTTATGGGACCCGTGGTCGACATGTCGAAGCTTCACCGACTCTTTTACATGCATCCGATTATTATATGGAGTGTATGTGTACTTTTTTTTATCTAGCCATAGAACAATCAAGGCAGGTAATTATTTCTCAACGCTTCCCGGGCTGCTATTGGCTGCCTCACCAACACGTGATTATATTTACCCCCACAAAAATTGTACAGTGGATCAATGCGCCACTTATCTTGGGATACCAGTACACATAAATCGGATTAAAGAATATAATCTTTTACTATTTTTTCTCGGAGGCACAGAGGCAATTCCAAAAACTATGTTCTTTCATGAAGAAAATACGCATTTGTAGTTCTAGTAGTGGATCTACCTCTAGTCGCACAACAGACCTGCGCACATTACGTCTAAGAGCAAGGCACTATTTGATGGTGTAATCAATCTTTGTCTGGCAAAATCTACCGTAGCGCCATGCTGTTGCAAGGGATAGTATTACAGCAAAGTGTTTACCGAATCGTTTACTCTTATATCTTTATCAAACCACGCTTTAAAGCACGTTTGATAAAGCGGAGGTGTTAGAGTTTCCTGCGGCATGAGGTTTATTTCTTAGGAGAAAAGCCTCCACGGTGGCTAGATATAGCTGGATTGGATACTGGAGAGACTGAATCAAAAATACGAGGATGTAGCATACGCCACTAATAAAGTTTGCACTGTTTTAACGAGGATACAGCAAACATTTCCTAAATGGGATCTGCAGAGATAGGAGAGGTGGGGATTCAGATTCTTGACAAGCAGCCCACTACGGCGCGCTATATTCGGCTAGTGACCGTTCATGTTTTTATGCCCATCAATAAATTTTAACGAGGACCATTTGATTGTTCATAAACGTGTCGTTAATAAGACTGCATCCGAGTTCCTCGCTCAACATTAAACCGGCACCACCACCACCACTATGAGTATCTGAAACAATTCATATGAAACAAGAAGGGCCGAAGACAGCAGAGCGGACTTTGGAAGCAGAAGAGGTAAAATGGTTCATTAAAAGGCTAACTGTGAAAGCTTTAATGACAGGGGTAATGTTACTGTTGTATCCAGTGGCATGAGTCTGCTGTTTTTGCCCTGCAATGCACATGGGTAGCTTGTCAGTTAGCAGGCAGTGAAACAAGAATTGATTCTTAAATAGAGATGCAGAGACACAGCAAATAGAAGAGGATCAACTATACGGTGATACAGGAGCAACTAAAGTAGCCACCGGCGTCATACAGAAGAAAATATAATGCATTTGCGGAGGGTGGATGAGGTAGATAGTATAGATGTTGAATTATTAATTCCTAAAAGCTGCACACGTTCCAATGTGTGTGTGTGTGTGTGTGTGTGTGTGTGTGTGTGTGTGTGTGTGTGTGTGTGTGTGTGTGTGCGCGCGCGCGCTTTTACCCACACTGTTATATTTTGCCCATATGTTGTATTTGGACTATTTAATCTGTTTTATGCAGTATTTATTCTTTTATGTGCAACTGCAGGTTTAATGTTTCAGATAATATCGTCTCTGCTGTGGACTAGTTGTTTATAAAAGGAATTGAACTGGCAAAAAAAAGGTTAACTGATTGCAACCTTTAAGACAAGAAATCCATTTTGGGACGTGCAAAGCTGACAGTTATGTGCAAACGAGAAAATATGTGGTGTGGAAGAACAAGTCACACTTCACTGTGGCAAACATTATCTCAAACTGGGCTAAAATACAGTTTCATGCACTGAAATATACGAAACAAGAGTTTAACAACAAAGAAAGAAAGAAAAAAGAGCGAAAAGAATGATTGTAATAAAATGATAATTATCCCAATTTGCAACATCTGTAGCGTTGGCGTTTAAAAACGAGCCTTTGTCAGCGCCAGGCTAAGGAATAAACGATGTCGGTAATTATCCTAGATCAGCTAGAGTCAAAATACAGTTTTACATTTGTTGATTAACCGACATGATATTCAACATTTTGGCTTCGTGGTGTAAAACAACGTGCATCAAATCATATACGCAGTAGGAAGTCCTACGTTTGTGCTCGCTGCTGAGTTCAGATTCAACCATGAAATTTAAAAGACCAGACGGCGGACCTTAACCCGGATAACTCCAAACGGTGTCCTGGTGTGTGCTGATGAATGCGCAGCTCTGAGCCTAGTTATTGTTCACCTGCAGGTTAATCGAGACAAAGAAATTTACCAAATGTGCTAATCAGTTCTTTTATTCATTTGTTTTTCTGGAGGTTTAACATTTGCAGTCTGCTGATTTCAGATATTCCCAGTATAATGAAATAGTACTCAATGAGCAATTATTACAATCCGATCGTAAAGACGAATTCGAATATATCCTGTATCGATGTCTGCAACAATGCACTAATATCATTTTTATTGTTTTGAAGTGTGCTTTTGTTTCCGTGTGTGCGTGTGTGTATGTGTCATTAATGAGAAGTAACTTCTGTTCAATTATCTTCCATCATCCATTTCACTCTTGTATCCGTCTTATTTTGCAATAAATAAAAAAGTATTTTTTATATAAACCATTTGTTGTTCGTCGTTTCTTTTTTCTTTTGATGAATGTCTGTCCTTAATCTCTATTCTTCCAGGGCACAACTACACTTGCAGCTGAACCAGCTGATAATATACTGTCGCAGAAAATCCCCTTTTGTTGCATGACCAAACACTGTCCTACTTTAGTTCCATAACATTTTATAGAGAAACACAACCTCGTGTAGCAGAAGTGACTGTTTTTGTTAAACACGTGCACTCTAAAATCAACAAATCAAGAGTGAAACTTGACAAATCAAAAGTATACGGCTAAAAGTTTAACTGGAGAAAAATACAGAACCGTCTGTTTGGCTTGTTTATGGGATTTGTAGTCGTCTGTGGCACAGTTGGTTTTATATCTGAGGTTTCAAAAAATCTCATATTGGTCTAATAACGATTTGTAATCTATGCAATATATGACACTGTCTATTACAGCGAGTCTACGTTTTCATTTTACTACAGTCGTTTGTCCTTCTGACATGCAAAATAATTTATCCAAAAAACGGCTTCTTGAATCAATGATGACAATAGACTAACTATAACTCCGCCAACATATGTACGTCAGATTCTGACATGTATCACTTACACACATTTCCCATGGACAAAAATACACACAAATACAGGTGTTGTAGCAATTTTCAAAAAGCCTATTTGTGCCGCATGAACCAAAGCGTGTGTTTGCAGTGCACTGATGCTTCTTATTAATACGGACTCACAGGCATGTAATCAGTGTTTGCTCCGTCAAAATAATCTTCGCGCCCGCGTTTTTAATTCAGCAGCCACCTTTCACCGTAAAAAATGATTGTAGATGAATACAGCAACATGCTTCTCGTGATAATATTAGAAGGGGAACTTCAGCTAAGATCATTAGTACACTTGCATGAAAATCGCCGTGTGTGCGGATTGCGAATTTCTCTGTAAGTGTATCTTTATAAACCCGCAAGGCTACTCAAGCTGATATTACACCCAATGCTTATTCAGATAAACTGCTTTTATCAGCAAAAGAGGGGAAGATAATAAACATGGATACGAGGTGTGCGTTGGAACATGACTTTCTTTTATTAGACATGCCAGTGCCAGAATGGAAGCGCATTATTTTTCCTGTTTAGAGCAGAGATACTGAAAGTAATTATTCTGTCAAATGAATGGTAAGAGCAAGATAACTACTGCAAAATTGACAAGACATCACAAGTTCTAACTCACACGCGCGCGCGCACACACACACACACAAATACGAAATAAACGCGTCTCATTTCTCTTTTCCAAAATTAGTTAGTCACGTTCAAATACGACATCTAGGCTATGTTATCTGTTTAAACTACACATAAAGATAATTCAAAGAAACGTTAACACAATGTGTTCATAACGCCCCAAACGCTGAATATTAAGGACCACAGAGTTGTACTATGATCTACTGAAAGGCCAAAAACTACAATAATAATTTCTCCTCCTGTATTGGATGGAAATCCCAAGATAACCGCTGCACGCCAGTGTTTCAGAGAATCAATAAATGACATTCTTATTCTAATAAATTAGCTTTAAAAATGTCTTTCAAACGCATTTTGTGTCAAAACAGCCCGTAAAGTGATCAGTTCTGAAGCTGATCAATTACAGTGCTGGTGAGCAGGCCTGTGACAGTTTGAATTTTTCGCGCAGTTAATATATAAAACAGCGTAAGTCGCTTTCTCTCTCGCTCCCCCTTTTTCTAAGGCCACGAGTGTCACTTATTTACAGAAAAATTCTATTCTTGTTGAGGCTTTCCTTTATAATCCATCCTGAGGCTGGAAAGCGTTCTCAGTTATTAAATGTCATTCAACAAATCCAAAAAAGGCGCATTTTAAGAGTCATTCCTGCACCGTACAAATTGGCAATAGAGCAGTCTTCACATTTTCCATTCCAAAGAAAGAAGGATAACACCCCTTCTGAATTCAAACCCTAATCAATCTTCTTGGTAAAATGGTAAAAATAAAATAAATTTCGAAGTGCTACTTTTTCCTCTCTATCATAAAATAAACATAATGAATGTGGAAAATGACAGTAGAAAAAAGGTAAAGGGGGAAACATAGAAAGAAAGAAAAGCTGTTAGCATATTTGGTTCATGTCTGATCATGCCAGCAGCAGTGAGACATCTTGAGCTGTCCCAAAGGAAGCGGCTGTGTAAAGGCTTCAGTTCCTGTGCGCAACTACAAAGTGGAATAAATTACTTTATGTGTATATGGGTTTAGGGTGAATCTGTGCAGCTCTCGGGGCTGTTTTCGGCGCTGTAAAGTCTTTGTCAGTGGTGCATTCCAAGAGAGACACTCATTCACTGAGCTGAATGAAAGTGACTTTGGATTCCAGACTGTCTCTTCCACTGGTGCTACCGCTACAAGGAGGGGGCTGAGAAAACAAGGGGAGATAGTGACTAGCATAAACACTGGACTGCCTTTCCAAAAAAAAAAAAGTGCTTGCAGAATAAGCAGCTCTTTCATCAATAAGTTATTGTGTTTCATTGACCGCTGACGTAAGCTAGAACCCCTTTCCTGACAGATATCTAGTCATTTTTGAGAGTTTCTTTTCTATTGTCCTTCTCCCCTTTTCATTAATTTTAACTATAATAAAACAATGTTTATTACAAGACATAAAGTTTTGCCAACTATCGGTGACCGTCAGTGAGTTTAGATTCAAACATAAATATCATTCATTTCTAAATTCACGCTAGAAATGAATGGTTACTCTGATAATTTAATTAATTTAAGTGCCATTAGTCCAAAAATGTACACTGAAAGTGTTGCGGGTCGACTCCAATAAAGATATAATGTGTGCCCATTATGTTTTGGAAACTTAGCCACAACACATAACAGATGAAACCGTGTAAAACCCAGGATATTCTTCCGCATAGTGGTCCGTGGAAAGACAAAATAAAGTTTCAAACATTTAAGTAGAACCAGAGGGAACACAACTGAAAGACATAAAAGACCCAAACACACAAAGATTTTTGTAGGAATTTGTACTAAAAATGTAACATTTTGAATCTTCAATGCAAAATGTGGCTAACGGAGCGATTGTTGTTTGTGTGTATTCTAATGTTTTCTAGTAAACAGTCATCAGTAGCTATTGCTGGAAATGACAAAGTAGCTTTTTGTGTTGACGTTAGGGAGCCTATCGCTGCAAAACCTCCCAGCAAATTGGAAGTTGGAACTGAACGGCCTTTTGGTTTTAAACACTTAAAAGAAGTTGTGCATTAGCAGAAGAGAGAGCTCAGATGAAGTCATAGAAGTGTCATTAGCATAAATGTCCTGTTACACATTTAATTAGTTAAGTCCGCGACATATCCAGCCACCTATGTATCCATGTCTCTTTCTATCTCATCATAAAACAGCTGAAACAACGAAACCTAAACGGACAGCCAGTGATGACAGATGCACCACTACGCAGTCTAAAACTTTACCCCATGTTGTTTACAACCTATTCTCCTTCTGAGAGCCTCTGGGAGGTTTTACAGCCCACCACAAAAATAACAGCAAAGAAAGAAAACGTCTCTGTCCAAGGTATTGCAACTCAGTTCATTTACAATGCCATTTGCGGGGACCTGTGTGACTATAGGGGGTAATTCGGCGGAAATTGTGCCCTTGATGAAGACGAACTGACGTAATCAAGGCAGTTTCTTGTTGCCGAGCCAGGAAGCCAACCCCAACAACATGAAACTACCTAAACCACGCTTCAGCTTCGCGCAAAGGGGTTTACAAAAAATATCCATGGAAAGGACAATGCATGAAAAGCCAAGTGGGGATTAACACTATCCAGCACTAAGGGAAAAGGCGAGTATGATACACACTGTGGTCTGCAATCATGCTGCTTTTTACGCTGCCTGTAGACACATTAGATGTGCCATGACTTTTAATTGTATCGTCTCAAAAACCGCATCCATCTAATTTTGCTACTCTTCTAAATTCATAAATATTATTGTGTCAGCGCAGCGTAAATTTAGTCCATTCGTTAAGTAAACATAGCCTAAAAATCCAGTCCAGCAAATCTCCAGAGCTAATCCAAAAAACAAACAAACAAAGAAAACAATCAGCAACCAGCATCGTGATTCGAGAAAGAAACTGAGTAGCAATCAGCAGCACGCTGAAACAACTTCATTCAAACTACGGACGCGAGCAGGCGTGCACCGTGCGTGCCAAATGAGCTGTCAGGCAAAGTTCTCTGACAGATGCGCCACACTTCCCGAAACAGGAAATAAAAATATTACGTAAAACCGGGTCCTACCTTCACTTGCCTTCGGTAGACGCCTTCCAGATGCGCTTTGTTATCCACGTGTTTGCCGTGACGCTTGTTATTATTGTCACTGGAGCCGTCGCTGTCCTTTTATCCACCATCCTCCTTATCTCCTGCGCCCATGAAGCTCCACTATCCCCGGGGTGGAGGCGCCTGCTCCTGCCAGCCCAGCGCCTCTCGGCTGGGTCCTGCACACTGCAGTCTCTGCTGTGTGGATTAGCCCTCCTCCACACACACCTTTAAACGCATCTTTACTGCTGCAGCACATTATATTTGCAGATCATAAAATCCACCCCCAACGCTTTCCAGGGCGAACCTGACATTAGAATTTTATGACCTTGACTTACTGTGGTCACCTGGATAATATTTAAATCAACGTTATGGTCTCTCACTTCTATTAAAACTGCCATGATCTCCTTCTCTCATCCGCAGTGTCTCTCCCTCCCTCTCATTTTCATTGCTATGCTAGGGGAAGGACAAAGTTGGAAATAGCTTTTTATCTAATTCGCCCTCCTTTCTTTCTTTTTTATTGTTTTGGAATCGTTCGCCATGACATAGTTTAATATCATCGCGTGCATGCACATTACACACCAAGGAAGAAGCAGCAGCACAAGTGGCATTTCATTCATTGAAGCTCAGCAAAATGAAACCGCTTACATGCCACTAGTTATTTATAGACTGCGTGAATGTCGCCTCCTCTTTTCCTTTGGTTCATGTTATATTACAATTAAAATGACAAGCTAATAGCACCTTACTGTCCCAGTGTCGCTACAACTGTTTACCTGGAAAGCTCAGGTCTGGTCTGCAAGTTGCAGCGTTTAGATCGTTCATATAGGAAGGCACGATGTGTGCACGTGTGCTTAGTGTGCACATAAGGAGAAAGATCACTAAATAATTGCTGGGTGTATCATTTATAGACACATGCATATCTGTTGATATCTTTGCCTGGGCTGTCTGTGTGCGTGATTTGGATGTAATGGATGTGATGTATGATGTGTGTGTGTGTGTGTGTGTGTGTGTGTGTGTGTGTGTGTGTGTGTGTGTGTGTGTGTGTGTCTGTGTGTGTGTGTGTGTTAAATATCTGCTCAGGAGTAGTTGTAGACTGCGCTCTGTTCCCTTTCTCGGCTCTCCCTGTTTAGCTTCTTGAGCTTCATGCGTCTGTTTTGGAACCAGATCTTGACCTGTCTGTCGGTCAGGTTGATACTCCGGCTGATCTCCAGGCGGCGCTCCCGAGACAGATACATGTTGAACAAGAACTCCTTTTCCAGCTCCAGCGTCTGATGCTTTGTGTAGGGACAGCGCTTCTTCCTTCCACTTTTGGCTTTTAACCAGCTTCCCGTTGTCTTTTCCGCGGACAAATCATCTAGCGGAGCGAGAGAAATAAGACAGTGAGAAAACAGGCGGCCAAATCCCGACATTTTGCGCGGAGATCTTCAAGGCGTTGATCAGTACAGTAGATGCTAGGTACACGCCCACATCTTCTAAATGCACATTCAATACCGTTCAAAGAAATCCAAATTAGTAGTTTAAGAGAACAGCTTCACCTGGGTGCTTCACCTCCGCTCTTACTCGAACAAATGAACTACATCGAGCATCGCACCTTTTCTAACAACTCCTACTGCTCGCAAATTGCTTCTGTAAGATGTACAACTATAATTAGATGGAATCAAACGAGGGTGTGCAGACACTTCCTTTGTCTATGTTGGACCTCAGACTCCCATAAAACTTTATTACCTTTGCACACCGGAGCCAGATATATATATATATATTTTTTTTAGCTTCATCTTAAAACAAGAGGCGGTCTCTGCAGCATGATACCAGATTTAGGGGGGGGGTAAGGACAAAGAAACAACGCATCGAAGTACCAGCAGCGGAAAAAATCACACTGCTGCGCTGCACACTCACTTAATTTCTTGATTAGCTCGCAGACTCTAGGGAATAATCCCCCCCCCCTCCCCCAACGCCACACACGTATAAACACAGGCAGATTATTTTAATAATTACCCTAATGTGAACAGTCTCTGTGTGCCCAACATTTAATCATTACCAAAACATTTAATTCCGTAATTTAATTGTCACGAACACGCGCAAACACACAGACAAACACACCCACCCACACACACACACACACACACACACACACACACACACACACACACACACACACTCTCCCCCTCCCAAATCCAAATATACACAAACACAGACCCTACAGCATTGTCCAATTAAATTAAAAATAAAAGCATAGTGTTGATCTTCATCTATAAATAACAAGGTGAAATTCACTTTAAATAAGCTAATGAAAAATATGTAATAACTTTAAGATTCATTACGGGTGTTATACCAGTGCCATTACGACTAATACTACTAATACTAATGCTGCTGCTATTACTATAACTACTAATATTACTACTAATAATAAGGATAATAATAATAACTAGAAATACAAAAAAACGATCAACAGATTGTGTTCTTACAGAATTAATTTACCTCTGCATATTTTGTCAAATATAACGTGTCAGCTTTCTTTCCTGAAAAAGCAAAAGTATTGTCCAACGTGTTCTTTTAATTGTTTTACGTACACCGTACAATTAGTGGCCTTTCATGAGCTTACATTCTGTCTATTATTATTATTATTATTATTATTATTATTATTATTATTATTATTATTATTATTATTATTATTATATCCTCAATAATTTGGGTCGAAAAGTTTAAAACTTTGGAGACAACCCGTACAATTTAATACTGCCTCAATGCCGGAATTTTGAGGTATGAAATGGTGCTGTTACTTCTGTCAATAAATAACCAGAGCTTGTATGAAAGAGAGAGCGGCGGCGGAGGGGGGGCTGTTTATTCTAATGATAACTGCCCATCTCACGTTGTCACATTAATGGAACTGTGTTAAATGCCACGAGCACCGTACCCCCTCCTAGGCCAGGCTATCAAATCCCCATGCAGACCATATGACTGATATCAAACACAAAGCTACATTAAAGTTATTAATTATTGCATCTGTGCGATCCTTTTAGTAACACCGTCAACAACCCGCCTGCGTGTGCGCGTGAGCATTGTACTGACACATATGCACGTGTCTGAGTTAAAGTTGGGGGTGGGGGGTGAGGTGGGGTGGGGGTGGGCGTAAATTAGCCTTCTACCTTTTAATTCCCCGTCCGAGATATCTGTGCAGCTGTCACTCTTGGCCTTCTCTTCCTTCCTGCTCTGACTCTCCTCTGTTTTGGAAAGCTCTCTCGCTGTCTCCTTCGCTTTGCTGCGACTTATTGTCGATTCTGCTGATGGTTCAACAGATGTCGCCAAGTGGGTCAGAGAGAAACTGGAGGGGAACTGCCGACCATCCTGTGGCGGCCTCTCTCCGCTGTACACCTTGAAACATCCGCTGGAAGAGGAGGCAGTTTGCTGAGGCCGGCAGCTATTGTCCCCAAGCCGGATGTAAGTGGCTGACTCTGTTGTCTGTTTCCCCTTATTGCTGTCATCCTGGTAGAGGCAACAAAACGCCTCCTCTTTGACGCTACCCATTGGAAACGAGCAGGGTTGTAAACACTGGGCAACAGGTTGCTCGTCCCTGGAGGTTTTGGAGCCTGGGGTCCATGTGGCCAGTTGTGTTGACAGGTAGGCCTCATCCTGGAAGCCGCTGAGCGACACACCGCCCGGAGTAAGAATCTCGTCTCCTTTCGAGAGTGAAGACAGTCCAACCTTCCCACTGTTTCTCATCACTGAATATCCGTACTCTGCAGCTGAGTGGATGTACATTCCGGGGTTGCTGGAATAACTGTCACCCCTGAAGGAAGATGATCCTCCCATTAAGGAATCCATGAGGAAGTTACCGGGAGCTATGTTATTCGGACATGACATTTTTGCATTTGGTAACACAGTAATCGTTTGGTGTGTTCCACTGGTCTAAACTACGGGATTCTCCGGGAGAAAAATGACAGTAGGATGCTGACATCTTTTGGAGGGGGGTGCAAAAATATCAGTAACATAATTATGGATGCTCGGAGACATGTCATGTGAGTTTCAGACCAATGGCTGCGTGGAAGTGGCCTTGATGCTCCAGACTGACGTGACGTCAGCGCGGTCAAGTTGGGAAGAGTAAGGGTTTTTTGGTAGAGCAAGAGCGCCACCTAGTGACCATCTGGGGGTCAGACCAGCAGGCCCATACCAGGAAGAACAAAGGACGGCAGCTCTTGCTGCAGTGATTTTAAAGGCTCTTACTACGTGGCTTTTGGATGTTTTATTTCTAGTTCAGCACAAACTTTTAGATGCTTCAAAGCAAATTAACTCAGCCATGCCTCGAGTTTCTGTTCGCCTCGGAGCTTATGCTGTGGAGACGAAGCCGCCTGGATTTGATCCAAATGGTACAATTTGTGTATTTTCTTTTTGTTTTCTTCTTTTTAAAACTCCAACCGCTTTGTTGTTGTCACAGGTTTAGCGAGAAAAGCTGTAAGCGGGAAAGAAGATGTGTTGTTTTCTTAAACAAAGCCTCAGCAGGAATGAGGACATTTTTTTACGGTGGGAAATTTAAAGAAATAGTACAGATGAATGTGTGGAGCAGCCCAAAAAGTAATTGGCCAGTAATCTTTTTCTTTTTGCTTTTTTTCCTTTTGATCTGCTTAATATAAAACTGTCATCTTTTGGGAAAAGGCTTTTTGACTGATTGTGTAGCATTACCACCATAATTTGTATTCTCTGATTATTAATTTGGATTTGTTTTGTATTACCATTGTGCTCCAGCTGAAATGCACCAGAATTCATTAGACTAATCATAATAATAGTGCCACATCTTTTTAAAGCAATTGGTCAACTTCAAGTAGACTGAAATAACCAACGAAGCAGCACTTGGTTGTTTAACGGGGTGTCGCCTTATAATGTGTTCAACTGTACGGGGAAATTGCAAATGGATGGCCTACAAGGATATTTATGTTGTGGTGTACAGAATTATATTAAGTGTCTTTTACGTATATATAGCCTAATAAATAGGTATTTGCTTACTTGAGCACATATAGTATTTCTATAAATGTTTCAATTCCTTTGCACATGTTTGGTTGTGTTATTATTAGTACTTTAACTGTTTTTTTAAATAGTTTGTTGTTTTGCTTTGTTTTTATTACCATTATTATTGTCATCATTATTTCACACGCGGAGTAGCAGTGGAAACAAGGATTTGAAAATAATTTCCTCTATTCAATATGAGCTTTGAAAGTGTTTACGCACAGAAAGTTTTTTTAATGTGATTTTGTTTCTTCTGTCCTCAACGCTAATTAGATCATGTCTAAATTATAATAACAGTTATCATGTAAAAAGCATAAAAACATGGGGGAAAAACATGCCGTTTTATTCAACAAAGTAGAATAAAACGGATATAAAACAAATATAAATGTAGGCTGTTGTCCAACTTTCATATCACGTAATTTAAAGCCTACATTAAAAGTCAGAAGAACAACAGCGTTATATTTTATACCCACTGGATTGAAACTGAACCGTAGTTTAGCTAATTGTTGACTTTTCCTCGTTAACATAGAAAAGCTGGCTAGAACGAGTTAGACCTCAGCATATTTTGTATTTCAGCAACTGTAAAACTTGGCTGCTAAAGCAGGCTATGTTTAAACGCTTTAAAATGTTTCTTAAAATGCTTTAACCACGGAGACGGTTAGCCTGCTTGTTTACTCTGTGAAAGAAAATGCACGCGAGGCTGTTTCCAGTTCAGAATCATTTCCAAAGGCAAGGGCAACATATTTTGTATCACTTTGCGCTTTTGGTTATGTGTCGGTGTGTAATGTGTATAAAATGAATACACACACACACACACACACACACACACACACACACACACACACACACACACACACACACACACACACATACATAGTCAATGTAGGTGAAATAAATACTCAGAGTAAATGATGGTTGTTTTGTGTTTTTTTTTCCAAACACGCGCCGAACACAATCTTGGCCGTGTGGATACATTACTGTAGTGAACGTGTTCATCAAACACCACAGCATAAACAATACCCTGGTGTTTGGCAATGAGGAGACAATATAGACAACATAGAGAACGAATAGAAATGTAGCCAATTTTCACACCTAAAAATTGTGTAACAAAAGCAGGTTTTTGCTTCATAGAAGGACACAACACCCACACGTTATATTGTCAGCTCATTTCACAAAGTCACACCACTGACAAACACGCACAAAAATGCTTTATGACACATTCCCACCTAGCCCGCAGGGTAACAGCGACTCAGCACAAAGCCTGAAACAGTCACGAGTAAAAGCAAATTATATGCGCACTAGTTAGATTTAATAACAGACGCATTTCACAAAAGACGCAAAGAAACCTCACAAACCTGGCAAAAGTGCATACTGGAGTGATATATCTGAAATGATAAAGTAAAATGACACAACGCCTGTTGTTATGGTAGTACCCAAAATGTGTGCTGGGATGCCACAGATGGGACAGTAATGTGCTGTTGCAGAGCTGCCAGCAGCATGGAAAATGTGCAGTGATTTCACAAACCAGTCATTGAAATTGTGCTTGAGGCTATAATAACAGAAAAACACGAGCGTATGACTTGATTGTTTTTTTGTTGTTTATTTTTTTCTTACAGCAGAATGCACATTCACCCTGCACATGATGGCAGAAGAGCTCCACTTGAAACAATCAGATTTGCGTGACTGTGATTATCATAAGCTAGAAGTGAGGGGAGCTAACTGTTGTACTTGCTGTAGAGCCCAAAGATTGCGGTAGTTAAAGCAAAGCTATGTAGCAGGGTTATTATCCCCACCTTTATGCTTTTCTTAAAAAGAAACTGAGGAAAACTTTCAATGGGCATTCATTCTTCTCTGCTTCCATAACAGAATGTTGTTTGTTTATACAGATCCATTTCTCCCATGGAAACGCGAGAACCACCTTATTTCCCAATAAGTGGTCCCTGAAAATTTCTGGATTTTTTCCTTTTTCCTTTTTTTCAATTTTTTTCTTTTTTGCAAGACGCCTAAAGCCGGTTTTGTTGTCTGGCTAAACATTTTGAAGAAAAAGCTGCCCCCCCCCCCCACCAACACACACACACACACGCACTTTACTGGCACTGTTTTTTGTTTTGTTTTTACCATGGTCTTTACACTTGTCTAAATTTCAGCCAGCAACCAACACTACTGCAATAATTTATCGTATAAATTATTGCAAACCTGGAGGTTGTTATGATAATGCCAGCAGGTATGGGTGGTGAATGCTGCGAGACAGCCTACATGGTAGTGGGTTTCCTGCACTAATCAGGAGCCACTGGGGCGACATAACTAATTTGCTCCTGGCGGCCACTTTAAAATATCTTTCCAGTTGCAAGTAGGCAGGCTGTGCTTTGTGAGCTCTTTCATGCTGTTGTCCATCCGTGGCTAACTCAAATTATGTGCAGGATCACGCAAGCGCTTAATTAAATAGCAAAGCGATAACCACCATCAAAGTACAGCAGGATTACATTATTACCGTTTTACCGAATACCTTACACCAGATGCCATGTGCATGGGATTTAAACTTTCGATAAGTTTTACCAAAACTAATTTTGGTGACAACAATCCATAAATGGCAGCCTACAAAAGCGCTAATGTAAATGAAGGCGCTTTGCAAGCTAGTTGGTTGCAGCAATAGGTGCTTGTTTTACAGCGACGAACTGTTTTATGGCCCAATAGAACCGGTTAGGTGCTGAGATGTAAGTACAACATCGTAGTATAAAAGCATTCAATAGCCTATAATCACTTGATTAGAATTTGCAGGAGGCGGGTAACAAAATACCGCCAAGTATACTTACAAGAAAAATAAAGCAAATTTAAAGTCAGAACAGTTTAGAGATGAAAACAGCAACAACAAAAAAACAAATGTCTGCCTTAAATTTGTAACAAAATGGAAGAAAAAAATGAACCAGAAAGGAAAATGTAACCGTTTTTTCCCTGTATTTAACTTTTTTTTATTAACTTTTTAGTTTTTTACTGGTGTGAAATGTTTTCTTTTTTCTAAGTTTATGAGGGGAAAAGACACACACAAACACGCACAAGACGAAGACACCCTCCGGTGTTATTTTATAATTTAGTTTTTGTGCATAATAAATAAAAACATGATCTTATTACCAGTTTTCTGGCACAAAAATATTACTTATTATGTAGGCGAATTAAATAAATTTCCTCGTGCATAATAATGGACCCAGGCTACATCGTCTCCATTCTCTTTCCTCTGCTCTAAATGAAACAAACCGCCATGTTTTTCATCACCGCAACACCCAAGTGCACAAGCCAGACTGACGCATGGCGAGAGCCGCATTCCAGCACAGTGGACGGTCCTTTTGTCACACATCGCCAAAACTGATGTCCACTACTAACTAAATACTACAGTGATGTCACCGAGGCATCTATATCAGGAAACGTTTTCAAGATCCCGTTGAGGAAACAAAGCAGTTCTCAGAGGCCGGGAGAGTCCTGGCCCCCGTGTGGCTGAGAGACAACATCTGCAGAAGACTCTGCAGCACTCTCTGTTAGTGACGTTGGGTGTTGGAGAAACCTACAAATTACCACGTCACTGTCCCAGGGCCAAGGTTGGTGGGTGTGGCGACGAGGGGCTGGTATAGCCTTGATCTGGTCGGCTAGCGTGCTTCGTCTTTCTTGAGTCAGAACAGCCCCCTGTCATCCCTGATGATATACTAAGACGGGCAGATTAAGTCTGATTTCACTTCATGCAGATAAAATACATGACCTTCTAAAGAGATGCACAAAAAAGCGCCGGTCATCCCCTTTACCCCCCCCCCTTTTTCCCACTTTAAACCGTTTAACTTGAAGAAAAACCTTATTTCCGAAAATAACCAAATTCACACCAATGGGAGGAAACACAACAACGTGCAAACGGTGCGGTAATGTTTCTGTTGATCAGAACAGCCCGTGCAGTCTTTTGTTAAGTCAAGAATCAAAGGGTAGACTGACTCACAAGGACCACACACCCACGCACTCACAAACCGTCATATTTGCACTTACAGAACCTCCCATTACGACAAATACACTGGGACAGCCACACACCAGCACGTTTTCTTTTCTTAGAGAATACAAATCCAGATCTACAGTTTACACCAAAATGTTTTAAAACGCCTCATGCGTGAAAACGTATACATTTTACAAGGACAATAAAGTGTATTTACTGGACGTGCTAAAGCTGGTAAAGTTACCTGCTGTAGTTTAATGCGAGGGGTCAAAGTTGTTCTCTGTACACATTCCATTTTCTGTTCCCACTCACTCTTATTGGCCCATTCCGCCGCTGCACACATTTCCGGGCTAAAGGGGCTCCTTGATTCCACTTTATTGCATCGGGTTAAAGGTGAAGGCCTTGACATTATGGAAGTTCAAAGACTACATTTAATTATAAATTGTACTTAATGCACACGTGCAATCATCATGCGCATATGTTTAGCGTACGCGCACACAAACTAAACACACATGCGCACACACAATCCACACACCCGCATATATATATATATAATATATAATAATTATATATATATATATATATATATATATATATATATATATATATAGACACAGTCGGTCTATGTCTGTCTCATGTCGAAACCTCTTTGCAACGTTCCTCGGACATGTAGTCCTGCTTGTTTACTATTTACTGCGGAAGTGAACGCCATTTCCCCCGAACAGACGGTGCAATTAAGAGAAAAAATAGGCATTTAGTGCCTGTGTCTTTATGGCAGTGTCTAGACTACAAGAGTGGCGATTCCATTTAGTGGGCACTAAAAGAGGTTATCATTGAACCCTTCTTCTCTACATTTCTAAGATCTGAGCTTCACCTCTCTTTTCTTTTCTTTTTTTTAACAGTTGTGCTAAAATTCAAACATAATCCTTTTTACACCGATGTAACCTTAAAATTGTCAAAAAGCCCTCAAGTGTAGCCACTATTCCTTATTTTCCCAATCGACACCAAATCCACCGCACCAAATGCGTGTAGACTCGTGAACTGGCATTTAACAGAGGTTTAAAGTGTGCACATGTTATGTGTGCAAGCCAGCAGCGTTAGGTTATACACGCATTTATGAGCAGTTGGTATTTCCAAAAGGTTTTGACTCACGACCAACACAAAGTAACAAATAAATGCACACAGAACCACTGGTAAGGGTAGTAATTAAAAAGACAAACAGCACAAAGTCATTGTGATTTGCCTATAGATTTTCTGTTTATTTCATAGGTATTATGTTAATGATACACAGGCCGACAATCTGCTCTCTGGAATCGAAAGCAGCAACGCTTTAAGCAAATAATTTAACAAGTGTTGGCGTTAAAGCTGTTAGAGTTGAATGGGCACTGTACTGAAAAATAGCAGCAGGGATAGCGGAAAGGAAATTCAACATACGGTTATTTACAGTCATGATAGCACATTGCATAGGCTACTCTGTACAGTTGGATATACTTTTTTTTCACAGATTGGACGTCACAGTTCTCAATGGCGAAATATGCAGCTTAATTAAAGATTTCCTATAATTTGCTCGTACTCCGGTAAAGAAATAATTAGATGGGAATAAGCTATATACAAAGACCAGAGCTGGGGATGAGAGCTAAAAGTTGTCTGCGCAATAAAGGATTCAAAATGCTTGTTATATTTCATATTGTTTTTAACAAATATGTGAACAATAGAATAAACACAATGAAGAATCATGATAAATAGAGGGACATATTCAAGAACAGCATATAAATGATTATTCTAATCGTGTAGGCCTTTTTCTGGGGACCAGCTAGAAATTCAACGCCGCCCGTAGGGCTATAAGAAAATGGCGATTTTTATCCCATGCAGGCCTATTTCTGCCACTGTCCACTTTAGCATTGCACTGTTGGTGTTGTGGGCTGCCTTAGAAAATGGGTATGCCCACAGTGACAACTCAGTGAGATAAGAGGGGGCCTAAATGCCACCGTCCCACACTGTGACACTCTCTGCTCCTGCTCACAATAGGGGATTTCCAGAGAAGTACTGGAGGCGATCTCTGCTCAGCTTCTTCTCTTTCATTCTTCTATTCTGAAACCAAATTTTAACCTGGCGGTCGGTGAGGTTTAACATTCGGGAAAGTTGAAGCCTTTTCTCTTTGTTGATGTAAACGTTAAAGAAGAATTCCCGCTCCAGCTCTCGAATCTGAAACTTGGAATATGGACACCGCTTCTTCCTTGTTCGAGGAGCGCCTGGAGAAGAAATAAAAGTGAAAAATAAAATTCAAAATAAAGTCGAGCTGCCACGGAAAATGATCAGCGGCGTTACATTAATTAACAACAACAGCAATGCGTTTTTAAAGGGGGTCACAGCGAGCTTAAGTGCTGAAGAGGCGCCAGATGCTAAGAATTCAGTTTCAGTGGCATTAGTACTGATAACATTTCAGTCAGCATTCATCTAGTGAACTGGCTGAAGCTATCAGATAAACCAACCATAAAGAGTGTTAAATATCCGAATCGCTTGGAGTAAATAATATCAACTTACAGCCTTTAAGTACGTGTTTATCTGTTATAAATATACAACAACAAAAGTATTTCACCGCATTATGTGCGCCACATTCCCCTGGAGCTAAACTAACAATTTACACAATCTTTTGGCAGTGGGTTTAAATGCACTGCCCTTGCCTGCAATGCCATACCAAGACCTCTGTGGCCCTGTAACGTCTTATCAAACAGGTGACCAGGGAAATGTGTGTGTTTTTTATTGTTTTTTATGTGTGTGTGAAAGAGGGCTAAACACCGGTCTCAGCTTGTGTCTGTTCCCTAGCTGAGCTAAAACAATGCACATGAGGCTAAATATGTTCTGAACACAAGCACCCAATCTCTAAAATTTCCTTTTAAAAATAAAATCCATTTTTAGATTTTTTTATTTTATTTATTTCTTTAGATAAAGTTAGTCATTAATAGAAATGACAGGCGACCTCATACAAATCATAGGAGAAAAGAAGCCTAATGTGCGGAAGGAAACATGCACATTAATGAATTTAAGCTTTTTCAGCGGATTGTGGGGAAGTGGAATAATGTGCAGCCTATGCAATCTCCACATACAAGGGAAAACACGATTAAGTGTGCTCGTAAATGAAGGAAACGCTTCTAATCTATCATCAGATAGATAGATAGATAGATAGATAGATAGATAGATAGATAGATAGATAGATAGATAGATAGATAGATAGATAGATAGATAGATAGATAGATAGATAGATAGATAGATAGATAGATGCATTTAACCGTAAAGTGTGTAATACTCTTCGCAGCATGTGTTTTGCGAGCAAACCGTGTACTAAAAGAAAATTCACAAGACGCCAAAAGCAATGTTCTGCCCAATTGGTTTTTACTCTCGACAGCCCAACGAGAAAATCCCTTAAAATGCCCAACGCAAGTTCATGATCAAAGTTAACATTTGTCACAATAGCTCTCTCTTAAAAATTTCACAGACTCTCACCATAGAGGCGTCTGTGTATAACATCCCCTTTTTTTCAAAGCGCTTTCCCATCGTAAAAATTCTTCTCGTTGCAAGAAAGAGCGTTGTAGGGTTATAATAAAATCGTTTGAATGCTTATAAAACTCCACATAAAATCTGACCGACAAAACACCGGGTTAGTCCCCTTAACCTTCCCCCATTTTACAGCTCGGTATACCTACTCGAGTGGCTGCTCTTGCTGGCGTTGCCGTCCTTGGTTGTTGCAGAGGAAGACGTACATGAGCCTGAATTTGTGTGTTCCTCCTCATCTTCTGGGTCTTTTTCCTGCTCCGCGGCTCCGGGTACAGACGCCGTGGGCTGCTGTTGCTGTTGCTGTTGGGAGTCGCTTTCCAGCTTCTCCCCTTCGCCCTTTTGTAAACAATTGTCTGACTGATTGTCCGTGCTGCTGCAGTACGCCGTCTCAAAAAAGCGATCGAAACCTTGCGGGAGGACATTGTTTTTCCCCACGCCGGAATAAAAACCTGTGGAAGGGTGATTGGAGCCCGGATGGGTGTGATGGTGATGGTGGTGGCTGTACACACTCTCGTTCTTCATAAGCATTTCTGTCATGGTGGATGGTGGAAGACAGTCTCTATGCACCAGATCCTCTCCCGAGTAGCACGACGCATAGTTGCTTCTGTGGTGCCATTTACTAGCAGGGTCCAAGCCGTAAGAAACTTCCCGTACCGGCTGCACTTGAGACAGATTTGTGGAATAGGGGTAGCTGATTTGTCTGGACGGGGCCTGTGGAAGAAACGAGGAGACGGCAGAAAACTCGGGGACGTAGTAGGTGCAGCTGGGGAGGTAGATATTGGACGCACAGCCCGTCCTGTCCCCAAACTCGGATGTCCGGTCTTTGCGCGTCTGGGAGCAGAAGTTGCCCAGATTCACCGAGTTAAACATCTTTCTCTCTCTCCCTCGTGCTCCGTACTATAGATAGATGTTTTGGATAGGAGCTGCAGCAGAAGGGGAAAATTTGGGAAGGCGAGATGACGCGCAATCCGTCTAAGTCGCCCCGCAGACACGTGATCGAAAGTAGATATTGTCATATATCAATTTGGAAGAGTTGGATGTGTAGGAGTGGTTGGCTTTAGGTAAGATCGAGGAGGTTCAAATGAATAATTTCCAAACACCACGGGACCACTAAGAAAACCAGTAACAGATTCCTGTTTGTTGGCTTATGACAATTAGAAAGATATGTGCTGTGCATGTTTATGTTTATGGGCTGCTGGTAGGCTAGCTAAACAGCTACAGCTCCTTAAAAAGGCATAGCACAAACTGCAGAGTCCACTCAATGGCATGATTTTCATAGTGTTATGGTTTTACAGGTAAGATTATTGCAATTAATATTATCATTGCAATAATTACGCTCACTCTTACGAGTGAGTACTACTGGATTACTAGCAATTTAAAAGTGTTGACCAATGAATTGCAAATTATGAATACTGATCTTGCACACAACACAAAAGAAAGGAGGATAGTGATTAGCAATCACAGAGAATATAGCCCATATAAAGCATAAGCCCGTTAAAAGCAGCCCCATGAGCTCCGTCAGCGCTTCAGGATTTATAAAAAGTTGCACAAATCACAGCAAATGACTCGTCTTTTTACGCTTTTTAAGAAGATTATGAGCTATTATTTATTTTTGATGCATTTCCACTCGTAAGTGCTTATCCGAGTTCGCTGCACATAAAATCGTGATTAATAAACACATGTCTGAATCATTCATAGTTATGTTTTTAAAATTATGCAGCAGCCTATTGCATTACTTTGCCGTTACGTTATTTAGGGTTCATCAAATGAAAAACGGGGAAGGAAACCGTAATTACACTGCAAGGTGAAGCATGTTGGTTGAGCAAATTATTCGGTCCACACTAATTATTCCATTTGACTCTGGATAGTGACAGAGTTCATAGAAGACAATCAGACAATTCAAGACCTCGATCCTGGAATCCCTGCAGAACCATGGGCCATGCATCTAACCCAGACCAAAAGTGTGCCCCAATATATAAACACACACACACACACACACACACACACACACACACACACACACACACACACACACACACACACACACACACACAAATAATTAGTACCTCAAATGACTGGCTTTAGTATTATTCCAGTTTGGAGTGGTTATTGGCAACACTCCTCAGAATATTCAATGTGTTGAATAGCTTACACTTTCAAAATGTTCTGATTTATAAGTTTGGAAAAGGTGTGGTTGGACTTTATTGGCATGAAAATCCTTCTATAAGTATCTATAAGATGCAGAGCAGAGCAAGTATTAGTCCTTTGCGCTGCGCTACTTAAAGGCCTATCGACCGAGTAGTAGGAGTGCATCCGACGTTTCCTTCTAAAATTAAATAAGTCCCAGCTGATGGTCTAAGCTGCTCTGATTATTTTATTTTCACCAGGATGTCGACATTCATCCGTGCGTGACAGACAGGGACGTGTTCCTCGAACTTTAAAAAAAATTCCAATAAAATGAATTGTTTGGAGAAAAGATGCGCCTGCGTGTGATTTCCTGCGTCATTGTAAACTTTTAATTGTACTGTTGAGGGCCATCTCAGAATCTTTATAGACTAACTGATACTATCTCAAGGTGAAATTAATATGATGGCCCATTGTTTATGATTATAGGCTGCTTCCTAAACGCTGCAATATACTCTCAAATTATTACCCAATTTTCCAATAACACAATATCGTCCTGTTGCAGTATCTTCGGGGACACCTGTGTTGCTATACATATATAAATTCAAAGAAAGTTAGTGACTTCGGTGATTCCCGACAGCAATGGGAAGAAGAAGCAACATCATCCGACCTCAAGCATTGGAAGTGAGATTCCACTGCAGGCGAATTTGTGAAAACGTGGCAATGGCATTAGCTTGTTTACTACCCCTACAGACAAAAGGTTGCCTCACATGATGCATCCTGAATCCAAGTACAAAGAAAGCAGACAGCTGTCCAGACACAGCACTTGAATTTGACCACTAAAATCCTCTCTACGTCCACCATAAAACTGCGAATGGCTGTAGTAACGCTAAATCCCTTTGTTCCATAGAAAACCATAAACGCTGAGAATGAGAGGAATTTGGATTTCAGGAAGTGGATATTGTGCAACCTTTCTACAAAGAGGCAGCGATATTAATTTCAGTTTGATTTTTTATTTATGTTTGGGGGTTTTTTTTTTTACTTCGAGCCGGCAAACGCACTTAAGAAATATTTAAGAAATCTGGTCTTTTGTTCCACGAATATCGGAATAAAAGTTTCAAATCTGGCGTTTGGGACGTTTGCGAGGCAAAATATCTACTCAAAGTTACTCGGAATAAAATATACTGAGATAAGCAAAAAGAAAAAGACAATAAGAATTTATTTGTGATGCGTGAAGCCCGGCTGCTGTATTTATTTATTTTGTTTTTCTCATTAACAATGACAGCTCTGGAAATATTTGTGTAAACACACTGGCCCTGTGGCCTATATGGACACATGTTTGACACATGCTGCTCCATTACTGTTGTGCTGCTGTGCAGCAACAATAATAATTCCCGCATCAAAATGTCATTGCCAATATTAACACTATGAAATACATAGTGGACTGTGTGATTAAAAATAATAATAAAAATAAACCCGAGACTTGCATTTGAAGTTGAATTTCTAAAACCCGAAAAACCGCCATACTAATTGGCCTTGGCTGTAATAAGGGTTCTGAATTATGACATTTAAAATGCATCCTTGTGTGAGCATCGCTCTGATCATAATATCATCCAAGAAATAAAGAATAAATAATAATAATAAAAAAACAATAAATAAAAACTCCAAACTTTCCTTTCAGCGGGCAATAACAGAATCGAGGCAGACAGTCCAAAACAATACTGGCAATTCATTTCTTCATCATAATCATTTCAATGATGCGTAATAGCCCGGCATAAATAAGTAATGCGAGGGTATGAATAAGCGATGCACTAATAAAATTTAAAGGTTAAAGCTGCTGATCTCGACAACAGAAACACTGAAAGGCTTCTCTGGACTCTGAAGTATTTCTACATTTAAACAAATGGAAAATGGCACTCCTGGTTGCATTTAAGTTGCGGTAATTGTCATAATATGGAAAAATATGACCAGCCAGCGTACATCACTTGGCAATATCCGCTTCCTGTGGGTTCAAACACTGACTGCTTTCACCTTGGTGCGCAAGGAACAAAAGTGAAAGAATAGGATTTACCATGTGTTTATTTCACTGGATGTGGGAGCCGGAGCAGAAATTCCGCTAGCAGTAGGACCCAGGAAAGTTTGATAAGGCTGCACCAAATGAGCAGGCAAAGCGTATGCAGAGTTTTAAAGCAAAATGGCCTGTATCCCAGATATGTCTCCTTATAATTCTAATTAAAAATAACTCAGACAATGAAAACATTTTAAGTGCACGTTCCAGTAGTCTTCAGACACAATGTTCAGTTTGGTGCTTTGCTAATACTCCCTTAAATATCACTGTCAAAGCACTGTTAGCTGTCTGAGGAATTTAAGCTATGTGTTGCTACCTAGCACCAAAATTACAGCTGTTAGCCTAGGCGTCACCTTCTTGTAAAAAAAGAAAGAAAGAAAGGGGTTGCGCCAAAGTGTCGATAAAGCCATTGCCAAAAGATACAAGTTTCACCACAGACACAGAGCTACACACACACACAAATACACAATGGGTGCAGTTTACCAGGACACTGCTCTACAGTTAGCTGAAGTCAAGGCTAAATGTGGGAAGCCTGCGTAATCATATTACTGTCCCCTCATGGCCTAGATAAGTTTAATTGGATGTGAGCCGGGCAGTTAAACTTCCCTGTATGAGCTGTGATGAGTTCCAGGCAACACTAAAGAGGCTTGTTTTTCTTGTCTCTCTCTCTCTCACTCTTTTTTCTTTTTTTAAACTAAGATCTTCGTGAGTGCACCTAGCGTAAAGCGTTTGTGGTGACAACAATAGCTGACAAGATAAGGCTGTGTGTTGCTGTTACATTTAGAGCAATCTCCAGAGTGTATTTCACTTTCAACCACAAGGACATAAAGCTTTCACAACAATGTGTTAACGCTCTTTTTTATTAGAAGTATTAAATGATTGCACATCACAAGAAATCGCTCAGTATAGTGACTACTGGATTCAGCTCCCATGTGTTATTTCGACGCCCTAAAAAGCACAGAGAGAGAGAAAGAGAGAGAGACCTGGAAACCATTTAAGCAGAGGAACAGTGAAGCGAGTCTATCTGAACAAATTCTAGAGGAACTAAACGTGAGCTTCTATTTGTGTTTTGCTAGAGGGACACTCGGCTTCACGGTTAATACTATTCTACAAAAGTCAGAATAAAGAGCATTTTATTTGAAGAGCCTACTTGAGGCTATGGTCTGTCACATGCTGATGTATTTAGAAGGATATTTTTAGGCTCGGCGTGCACTGGAATCTTCTATTTACTAGAGTTAATCTTCTAAAATACCTAAATTATCTTTTTTTTTTTAAATCACATCACATAATAAGAAGGGGCATTTAAAAGGTGAAGAAATGAATAAATACGTTTTCTTTTCTTTTCTTTTTTTTTTTTTTACCGCGCTTACGATATTACGCATTGGACGGACCCAAGCGTGACGCATGTGTTTATTTTGAATTTGCTAACTTAGAGATAATGCATTTTGTTTGGTTTCGTCATATTTTGACATAACTCAACTTTAGTGTAATAATTATACTCTTTTCTTTTCTTTTCTTTTTTTTCAAGCGTTACAAGGAAATTCCTGAGGTTATTGTTTTGTTTTGTTTTTAATATTTGATCAAATCTTTTCTGATGTTACCAAGCCCAAATGAGAAAATGTACATATCCACGCATACAGCAGGGTAATCGTGATAAAGTTTTGAACGTTAATGCAAACTGAGATACTGGTGGCTGATTTCTGCGTGGGTGTCAAAAGTCGGTTTTGTTTGCG